TCGCATTCAGACGTCATTGTGATGTTACAGGAAGTGACTTCCTGTAATTTCACATCCCTTTCCCTCTCTGTTATAAAACTGTGCTTTGCTAATATTGGAAGTGGTGGCTGCCACACGGCTTCATTGCTTGGTGAGGCAGCAGTACATGAAGAAAAATTTTTCACAGGCTGTAATTTCACTCTGTGCCACAAATGTTTGACTGTATTTTTCTTTCTTCTGCCCCCTCGTTGCTGCCGCTTGGGGACTCTGCAAGCATATTCTACAGACTGTGCCACCAAAGCTCTCGACTTTGACTTTTAGATTTGCTCACAATTCAAAGTCTAATCTGGTTGCAATTTTTCCACATACATTTTTTCCTGGAAATGATACTCTACTTTTTGTCATGCATAATTGTTGTGATAACTCTTAAAAAGTAGCGTTTTGCACACAGTAAATGTTCAGTAATATTCTGTTGAAATAAGCTCATAATATGTAGTTAGGTATTCTGGACTTGTCTTTTTTTGTTTGTTTGCTTTTTAAGATTTATTTACTTACTTGAGAGGCAGACTTACAGACAGAGAGGCAGAGACAGAGGTCTTCCATCTGCTGGTTCACTCCTCAAATGGCCACCACAGTTGGAGCTGTGCCCATCTGAAGCCAGGAGATTCCTCTGGGTCTCCCACATGGGTGCAGAGACCCAAACACTTGGGCCATATTTTACTGCTTTCCCAGGCCATCAGCAGGGAGCTGGATCGGGAGTGGAGCAGTCAGGACTCGAACCGGCACCCATATGGGATGTGGGCACCCCAGGTGGATGCTTAACCTACTGCACTACAGCGCCAACCGTAAGGGTCTTGTCATTTTAATAACAAACATGAACATTGCCATGAATATAAGCAAGTGTACATAGGTAAGTCATATTATGATTGTTTTTTCTTGTGTATTAATTTAGATTTCTTCCAGTAAACTTAAAAGGAGGTTATTTGAATGAGAATATATACACGTATTGTCTCATGTATATATTGTTTCATGTATAAGAGATATGTAAGAAACATACACATACCCTTATCTTTATATCCTAATGTGAGAGTACTTCAAAAAGTTCATGGAGGGGCCGGCATTTTGTCACAATGAGGTAAGCTGCCACCTGTCACTCTAGCATCCCCTGTCAGAGCACTGGTTTGAGTCTCTTTCTAATCTAGCTCCCTGCTAATGCACCTTGGGTCCCTGTCACCCATTTGGGAGACCCCAGTGGACTTCCTGGCTCCTGGCTCCTGCTTTTAACCTGGCCCAGCCTTGACCATTGCTGTCATTTGGGGAGTCAACCAGCAGATGGAAGATCTTTCTTTCCTTCTTTCTGTCATTCTGCCTTTCAAATAAATAAGTAAATATTTTTTAAAGGTTCATAGAAAAGTAGATTTAAGATTTACACACAGAAATTTTGGAACTCCTTGCATAGTTGCCTGCCTTCCTTCCTTCCTTCCTTCCTTCCTTTCTGAAAGAGCTACACAGAGAGAGAGAGGTCTTCTATCCAGTGGTTCACTCCCCAGTTGGCCGCAATGGCCGGAGCTGCACTGATCCGGAGCCAGGAGCTTCTTCTGGGTCTTCCACATGGGTGCAGGGACCCAAGGACTTGAGCCATCTTCTACTGCTTTCCCAGGCCATAACAGAGAGATGGATTGGAAGTGGAGCAGCCCGGTCTCGAACCAGCGCCCATAAAGGATGCTGGTGCTTTAGGCCAGGGCATTAACCTGCTCTGCCACAGCGCCACGCCCCCCTTTTTTTTAGAGATTTATTTTACTTATTTGAAAGCCTGACAGAGAGAGGTCTTCCATCCGCTGGTTCACTCCCCAAATGGCCACAATGACTGCAGCTGGGCCAGTCTGAAGCCAGGAGCCAGGAACTCCTTCCTGGTCTCCCACCTGGGTGCAGGGGCTCAAGCACTTAGGCTGTCCTCCGATGCCCTCCCAGGTGCATTAGCAAGGGGCTGGATCGGAAGTGGAACAGCGGAGATTCAAACGAGCGCCTTGCGCTGGCGTTGCAGGATGGTACTTTAACCCACTGTGCCACAGCGTTGGCCCTGCATATTTTCTTCAAAAAGTTCGTGGAAACACACATTATGAAGACTCCTCATATAATAATATTTCCTTGAATAACACTGGAAAACAAGATAATTATTCCTCTTTGGACTCTTTTCTGCTAATACCAGGTAGTCCACATGATCACTCCCTGAAATAAAAATTGTAGCATATATCAGCCTAACTTCATTAGAGTGTTCCTCACACTGGAATACTTTTGTTATTCAAAAATCAATGACATTTAATTGAGTAAAAAAAAATCGCTGCAAGCATTATTATTTCTTTTTGCTAGTTTTTCTGAAACACCCCTTAACATGCTCATATACGTTCCTTGCTCGTGCGATGGAGAAATAAATTGTTAAAGTTTCAGATAGTTTGCCAAAAGTTAAGTAGTTTGCAAGAATCATCTTGCCAAATAATACTCTTTCCATAATTAAAGCTCCTAATATAGTCAGAGATCATATTGGGTAATCAGATGGATGATGGAAAATGGCAAGCTGAAGTCGTAAAGCCAGATTCTATAATTAAGAGAAGAAAAATGCAGGGGCCAGTGCTGTGGCATAGCGGGTAAAGCCACCACCTGCAGTGCTGGCATCCCATATGGGCAGTGGTTTGAGTCTCGACAGCTCTACTTCTGATCCAGCTCTCTGCTGTGGTCTAGGAAAGCAGTGAAGATGGCTTGCAACTGTGTTGGAGACCCAGAAGAAACATCTGGCTCCTGGCTTGGATTGGCCCCGCTCCGGCCATTGCAACCATTTGGGGAGTGAACCAGCAGATGGAAGACCTCTGCCTCTCTGCCCCTGCCTGTCTATAACTCTGCCTTTCAAATAAATAAATAAATCTTCTAATAAATAAATGATAATTTAAAAATGCATTCCCAGGGCTGGCACTGTGGCGCAGCAGGTTAAAGTGCTGGCCTGAAGCACTGGCATCTCATATGGGTGCCAGTTTTAGTCCCGGCTGCTCCTCTTCTGATCCAGCTCTCTACTATGGCCTGGGAAAGCAGTAGAAGATGGTCCAAGTCTGTGGGGAGCAACTCGGACTAGACTAAGTTACTGGAATTAAGACTTATTCTATGCATCTGCTCTCCCACAATATGGCGCTGAGAAGGGAGTAAACAGCTTCTACACAGGTGCCTCCAGTTCGACCAGTAACCTGCAGGAGCTGATCCTGCTCCTGATTGGAGGAGAGCAGCATGCTCAGCGTGTGGGTAGCAGAGTTGGGATTGGTGGAAGAGGACTATAGAGGAGAGAGACAACATGCACCAGGAACATCTAAAGGGAATATCCGGATAACATCTGAGCAGCCCCCGAGAGAGCCGGCCGGTGGTGTGCTGCTTCCCCGTGGAAGTGGGGAAAATGGCAGGGGGAACCGCCCTTCCACGGAGGTGGAGGGACGGCAGCCAACCCGGGAAGAACCAGCAGCAAACCCGGGAAGGGCCGAGCAGACAAAAGAACAGCACAGGGTCCTGTGTCGTTCCTCCGCGAAGAGGGGGAGCGACACAAGTCCTTGGGCCTCTGCACCCCATGGAAGACCTAGAGGAAGCTCCTGGTTTCGGATTGGTGCAGCTCTGGCCTTTGCAGCCATCTGGGGAGTGAACCAGCGATGGAAGACCTCTCTCTCTGTCTCTACCTCTCTCTCTAACTATCTTTCAAATAAGTAAAATAAATCTTTTTTTAAAAAATGCATTTCCTTAATAATCACCAAGAGAGTGTTTCCTAGTCTCTTCTCATTCCCATCCTGAAGTGATTTCAGATCCGTAGTCCTGGAGAATTGCGATAGGAGTAAGCTCTACCTTTCACTGTGACAAATGCTTGACACAGCCTGCAGTTTGTGAGTTACTGAAAGAAGCCTAAATCCATCAGAGAGCTGCTTGTCCCCTTTTCTCACCTCCTTCACCAAGTTTCAGGACTCTGTGGAGGTGAGAGTAGAGGAGTGAATGGAATTAGGTAGTCTACCTTTTTCCCTGACCTGTGAGCTTTGCAATAGTAACAGGTTATTCCTTCAATGTTATGAATCTGTAACTCCAAATGGCACATTCCCATCAGGCCTATTGATTTAAATCTCAGCATTTGGGGTACTCAGCAACAATGGTAGGCTACTAATGACTTTCTGTGCTTCCCTGTGGGAGCAGTATAGGCTGGACTTTTAGCAGCTTGGACACTGGTACAGCATAGGTAAGCGCAGAAAAATATGTAGGGAAGATGTGTGTGTGTGTGTGTGTGTATGTAAATATATATATACATATATAAATACATAGATATATATGCCACTTGGATTTCTGATTATATAAACCAAGTTAAAACATCCAGTCATGACTTGGAATTAAGAGAAAGACGCTATAGTGAGAGTCAGTGATTCAGATGTAAAAATGCTTTATAAATGTTCAAGGGTTGAATCTTGCTGTTCTTCACTAGATATTTGATTATCTGAGGGTAAATCACTTGACATCATATTATCTATCTTAACTGAAAAAAGATAATCATAATTCTTAAAAACTTATCTGAGCTTTCTGAAGAGCATCCAGACACAATGCCAGCAAAGCCCTTTAAGGGTTTTTCGTTCGGGGCCAGCATGTTGGCATAGCTGGTAAAGCGCTGTCTGTGACACCAGCATCCTGTATGGGTGCTGGCTCGAGACCCAGCTGCTCAGCTTCCAATCCCAGCTTCCTACTAATGGCCTGGGGAAAGCAGCAGACGATGGCCCAAGCACTTGGGCTCCTGTCACCCATGTGGGAGATCTGGCTTCCACCTGGCCTAGCCCTGGCAGTTGCAGCCATCTGGTGCGTGAACCAGCAGATGGAAGATCTCTCTCTCTCTGTCTCTCCTCTCTCTGTTACTCTTTCAAATAAATTTTTTAAAAAAAGCTTTTAGTTCAAAGAAACTAAAATTCAAAAGCATTATGTATGTAACAAATGTTATCATTGCTGGGTTGTCCTTGTAGGTTTTCAAGAGACGGTATTTTTATTTGACTCAACTTCCTGATGGTTCATATATTCTCAATTCCTACAAAGATGAGAAAAATTCAAAAGAATCTAAAGGTTGCATCTACTTGGATGCCTGCATTGACGTTGTTCAGGTAAGATTGCCAAGGTAATCTTTCTCTTTCTCCAAGAGGGTTATTGAACCTTAAGAACTTCAGTGTTTTTCTCTCTTGGTTAATGGCTCCTCCCTCCATCCTCTAAAAGTTTCATTCTAGAAACCTGAGAATTCTCTTCAGTGCCCCACGCTTACCTAGTGCCAGTGTTCACCTGTTGATCAATTCCTCCAGGGTGCTTCCGGAGCTGCTTCTCTTCTATTTCCACAGCTCTTTTTCTCATTCTCGCTTTTATCCTCTCTGGCCCAGAGTCCTGCCTTCTCGCCTCCTGATTTGTTGGTCTGCTCCAGTCTGTTTTCCTAAGACATACACTGGATCCTACATGTGGCCATTTTAAAACCTTTTTGGCCCTTGATTTGTTGTCGTGCGGAATGAGCGCTAAAGCTCTTAAGGCGTTTAAGGCCTACCATGAGTGGCCTCATCTTCCTTGCACCCCTTTGTATGTGCTGTGCGCTGGTCACCCCAGTCCACTCCATGCATTTTCCCTCACTGGGGACTTTTCTTACATTTTTGTTTCTTCTTGCCACATATTTTCCCCTTCACTTCCCATTGGAACCTGATCTTTTAAGACTCAGCTTAAATGCCACTCCTGCCATGAAAGGTTTTGTTTCTCTCCTCAACCTCTAGTCCAGGAAGTGGAACTCCGCCTCACTTGTGCTACCTACCACTGCCTTTTCCTGTATCCTGCCAGTGAATCAACTCTGCTTTGTGATGCATTCGGTACATTCTTTTCAGGATTACTGGGACCACGTCTTACTTCTGTATCTTTTAAAATAATTAGCATGACCATGCACACAGTAGGGACTTAGCACATGTTGACTTGAATTACTGAGGAGGCACGGACAAAGACACACTAGGAAATCAAGCGCAGAGAGAGAATCAGAATAGGAGGTAAATTGACCAAGGGATAGGAGCCCTTACTGTGGGGCTGGGGTATGTGGTTGACTTAGGACTGCTGAGCTGATTAAGAAGCAGGAAATGTTGGTTCAGCGTCCTCAGTTTACCTGACTCTTAACTTTGAAAATTATAACATGAAATTACTACTGTCTCTGTACTCTATCGAATAACATGTATTGAGAATAAAAAGAGAAAACGCCTTGAAAAGTGTGAAGATCTGAGAATAGAAGGTGCTTTCATTAATGCTCAGGAAGAGCTTTCTTGTCTTCCTGGAAGAAAGAGGGCACATATAAGTTCTGGATTTTCTCAATTAGTCCTAGTCCCGATTGACCTTTCTTTGTATTTCACCCAGGATCTGCCTCTTCCATCTATTTATGATCCCCTCTCCCAAATATTTTCAAACATATAAATCTTTATGACAGGCTACAGCAGTTTAATTTTATCCTTTCCGATACTTTGAAGATGAAAAGGAGGAGCTTTTTTTTCATTCTTTCCTGAATAATGACCATGCAGTGGAAAATTCTTGATTCATGAGCCTTTCTTGAAATTAACATGATGGTATTTGGGAGTATGCACTGTGCCATTTCTTTTGTCACAACAGAGAAGGTGGTAAAGTAAAAGAATGTGTCTTTAGGTTTGGGAGAAGGAGACTTATTTTCCTTGTGTGCTAGTATTTAGCATAGGGCCACTTCCATTCATGTTATTTAGAGTGCGATTGAATGCACATCAACTTTAGTCTTCTTTTATGCTGCTGTGATATATTTGGTGTTATGCATGTTAAAATGAGCTGGATTATCCCTGTTGCATTTTGAGTTGATACAAAGTGAACACCAGATTTGTTTCAGCTCACATTTAAGCCTCTTTTAAAGATCCGATTTCAAAGATCTGTAAATATGCAAGGAAAACTTTAAGCATGGTGAAAAGAGTAAAATTTTTGCTTGTGTTTCTGGTGGTAGTTTGATTTTTTTTTTCTAACTCTGAATGATGTCGAAAGGCCTTAACTGTTACTTCTTAGTAACAAGTAGTCCTTTACACTTGATCTTAGCCAAAAGGCAGAGAAGGGATAACAAGTAGTCTTTTATGTCAACTTTATGTATATACCACTGTGCTCAGTCCCAAGGGGAACTGAAATGATATGTTTTGTATGGTTATTCATCGTCTTAACAGTGTCTTATTTCTTGTTGAAAGAAGCAACTAGTTCATGAAAGTATTGACGCACATGTGTGCTGAGCTGAGGTAAAAATAAATAAATGAATGAAATCTAGTACTAAAAGGGCAACTAAAATTAACTGAATGCATGCTTTTTTTTTTCCTCCCCTCTCTAGTGCCCCAAAATGCGCCGTCATGCTTTTGAACTCAAGATGTTAGATAAGTATAGCCATTATCTGGCTGCTGAAACTGAGCAGGAAATGGAGGAATGGTTGATAACTTTGAAAAAGATTATTCAGATCAATACCGACAGTTTAGTGCAAGAGAAAAAGGAGACAGTAGACACTGTACAAGGTCAGAATTTTTCAATGACTCATTTTTGAGGTAAAGCCCTTGATTTTAATCCTTGGGAATGTCCTTTGTACTGGGTGAATATAGAACTCTTAATTGTCACGGTTACTTGCCTTTTAATTAAAAGTGACTATGTGAGTCGATAGACTTTTTAAAAAGTGTTGATGTTGTATAGGCTCTGACACATGGGATATAACCAAACTAAAACAGCTAGGAAATTCATGGCAGATTTTCAGAAGTCCATTAAAGCTTTCCCTATGCTTTCATAATCAAAATTCTTTGCAATAAATCTAGTAGGAGAGGATGGGATGGGAGAGATAGTTAGAACATTCCTCCTAGGTGATTAGTAATGGTCTGTATGGTTTAGAACATCTGCTTTTAATGAATTTGCAGATGATGAAACTAGCAGCCAAGGCAAAGCCGAGAACATCATGGCCAGTTTGGAAAGGAGCATGCATCCGGAGCTGATGAAGGTATATCTTTTTTTATGGCAAATTGCCTTCAACGGGGACAATGCAGGAGCAGCTATTAAAGTTTTAATGCTGGATTCCATTTGGTGATGTCATTTCTAAGTGAAAAACCACAGCAAATTGGTCAAACAGGTAGAGACTGTGAAAGGAAAGTTGCACTCCTAAAGACGGCCTCGTAAGTGCCAACTGACAGTTTGGAAGATTTTATTTTTTTCTAGATACCAGAAAGTGCTTTCAGGTTTTTGTGGCTTTATTATTTGACCTGCTACTTATTCAATTTACTTTACATCATTCATAAAATTATTCTTTCAAGGGGCTAATGATGCCGATCATACATATGACATTCAATCTAATGCTTTATACATGTTACTTCCATATGCAAATCATTTAGTCTCCCTATATACAATTATGAATATGAGTAATTTCATCAGCTAAAGATATGAACAATCATTACTTATGTTATTTTCTCTGTTCTTTGGAATTTGGAATGGACTGATTTTGAGAGCATGGATATGATTATCATGTGGCTCTTAGTAGGATACATATTTCACTTTGCAGACTTTGTCTTAGACTAGGTTAGAACCCATTTATTCATTTAAATCTTTGTCAGACCTCTTTGTATTTTTATTTTATTTCTCTTCCTTGACTGCTTAGTTATAAAAATTTAGAAATTTTTTTCTCCTTTAAATTTACTCCTCTCTTAAGCTTCAAAGCTGTTTTTCAAAATTTAGGAACATACTCCTGTTCCTCTGACATGGACTTTCTGTGATTTTTTTTTGCATTTGGGTTGTATTTTCCTCTCAATATTTGTCATCCCAGTGCAGCCTCTTATGTGCTTCCTAAGGTGATGTAATTGGAATTGAAATATAATATTCTTTGTATGTATACACACACACACCAATTCATACAGTGTGGTGTTTTTGGCTTATGTCTGTTTTGCATTATAAATCTCTTGAATTCCTTTTTGTACTGACAATGGGATGAACAATATTCTTGGTATTGTGAATAGGCACATAGAAGGAATGAGAATCTGACCTACAGCTAATAGTGGGTCCTAGTGACGGTGATACATCACTCCCAGCCAAGCACGTGTCCTTTATTCATCTCAAGTACATGGAAATGGAGAACGTTATATTTTGATGCTATGTCAAATTGCTACTTTTACATAAACGTGTATATTTAAATGGCATTTAATACTGTTTTGAAGGAAATGAAATGATTTTATGAATACATCTGTTTTCATTTCAGTATGGAAGAGAAACTGAACAGTTAAACAAACTGAGTAGAGGAGATGGCAGACAGAATCTCTTTTCTTTTGACTCAGAAGTTCAGGTATGAATGATCTGTTTCTTTTAATGGTCTTAGAATTGTTGCTTATTCAGATAAATAACGTCTGTGAAGTATTGAAATCACTGAGTTTTATGCCAGTGGGGAATATAGATTATTGTATGTTTATGTTGTTCGCTTTGAACAGGTAGCTTGACACCTAACTCTTCACTCAGGAAGATTGCTGTATATGCAAATAGTGTATTCTTTTCACTTCATCTTACGCCTCAAAATGGAAAAAGTATCCTTAAATATGGCTTCAGTGTTCATGTAACCCATGAAATAAAATTATGATCTAGTGGCCATGAATACCTACAGTATAAGGAACACCAAGTCACATGAAACATATATTTTGCATGTTTGATACAGGGCCATAAAACTGGGATAATTTTCATGTCTGGCTTAACCCTATTTTAAATGGAGAATGGCACCGGGGAATACAGACTTATGTTCATATTTGTATATATTTTAACCTTGTTACATGAGTTAGTTACTTTTCTGTGTAAGATACTGTAGCTAATTTAAAATTCCATGACATTTTCTAATTAAGTTTGTTTAAATTGAAAAAGTCTGCAGTATATAAGTATTACAAATATTTTTTCAAACTGAGAAATGAGAAAATGAAATTATTTGTGGGTGGAGGTGAACTTTTAAAATCCCCCCCTTTTTAAAAAAAGATTTATTTATTTGAAAGGCAAAGTGACAGAGGAGAGGCAAAGGGGGAGAGGGAGTGGGAGCGGGAGGGATGGGGCAGGAAGGTGGGGGGAGAGAGAGATCTTTCATCCACTAGTTTATTCCCCAAATGCCATGATGGCTTGGGCTGGGCCAGGCTGAAGCCGGGAGCCCAGGTCTCCATTCGGGTCTCCCACATGTTTGTAGGGACCCCAAGTACTTGGGCCATCTTCTGCTTCCCAGGCTCATTAGCAGGGAACTGAATCAGAAGTAGAACAGCCAGGTCTCATACTGAGATGTTAGCGTAACAAGTATTGGTTTAACTCAGTGCACTACAATGCTGATCACTCTTTTCCCTTTTTTGACCTATTTCTAATTTAAAACCTTTTGATTTTGTTTGAAATAGAAAATTATGCATTACATAAGCATTATAATGTTTTCAGTGAAAAGATTAAATAATTGGGTAAGACTTACTTGCTGTTATTTCTTTTTTGCTTCATATTGTTTTCTAATTAAAATGTATTATTTAATTTGAAATGAAGGAAGCACAGGGCCAGCGTTGTGGCGCAGTGGGTTGGGCCGCTGCTTGGGACACCAGCATCCTATATCAAAGTGCTGATTTGATTCCCAGCTGTTCCACTTCTGATTCAGTTCCCTGCTGATACAGCTGGAAGATCAGTGTGGGATGATCTAAGTGCTTGGGTCCCTGCTACCCACATGGGAGACCTAGATGGTGCCCCAGGCTCCTGGCTACAGCATGACACAGCTCAGGCTGTTGTGGCCATGTGGGGAAGGAACCAGCAGATGGAGGATCTCCCTTTCACACTCTCACTCTGCCTTTCAAATAAATAAAATATTTTCTAAAAAAAAATAAAGCTTATAATAATGCAAAGATTTTTCCCTTCATAAAGATCACATGAGAAAATAAAATTATTTGGAGAAAATTGACTTTTCGTGCATTAGTGTATAAGTTATGTAATTAAAAAAGAAAACAGTATTGTAGGCTTCAGGAATGTTTGGTTCTAAGATACTCTTCAGAAATGGACTTGTTCCAAGCATGTCTGAGCCTTTGATCCTGTCCTCATGTTGGGCTCTAATTGGACATGTCAGGCTCTCTTCATTGAATACAAAGGATGCAATTGACTGTGGTTGAAACTAAATCTAGTATCTTTAAACATTTGTGGTGTTGTGTTTTTGTGGTCATGAAACTGAACTGATTTTATGTTTGAGTTCTTTATCAGTGATCTACGATGAGCGAAAAATTGTGATGAGTATTTAAAGATTAAAAAAAAATTGAATTTGTTGATTGTGGAAGGCAGTCTTGCCACAGAGGAAATCAAGTTGTATGTATCAAGGACCTCCTCTAGGTGAAGTGCCATCCCATAATTTCTGTTCTTTTGGCCACAATTGAGCATTTAGAGACTATTTTGTAGTCAGTGTTTTAAAAACAAACAAACAAAAAAAAAAAAAAAAAAAAAAAAAAAAAGGAAAAACACTGTGCTGACTGAAGGAGGCGGCTGAAACTTGGAATGATTGGGGAAGTCCAGATGTGCCCACATTTGTGCTCACAGGCCTCTGAAAGGAAAGGGTTGAGGGGCTGGGGTAGTTTGGTCCAGCTTTCTGCACATTCCACGGCCTGAGTAAGACAGAAAGGAGGGCAGATAATGGGCGGAAATTGGAATTGATCTCCATGGCAATGGCTTGCCTCTGCTGGCTCCACAGACAGATAAGTGTTCACAAGAGCACTGCCTAGTCCCACACATTTGTATTCCTTTGGTAGATAAATAAACTCAGAGGGGAAAAAGATCATGCTTTCAGGCACAGATCTTGCACATCGGGCCCTTTGAAGGAGGATTTTTTTCGTCAGTGGTACAGGCTAGCTCAGAACAGCTATAATTATCTAAGCTTCTTCAGGCATAATACCTGTTTTGGCCTGAATTACTAAGATAATTGAGAAAAATTCTTGTGTTTCTTGGCTTGAGTTTTCCATTCTGCTCAGATTCACCCTGTCACGTCCCACCTACTGTGTCTGCGGCCTTAATGAAAGTGTAGTAAATAACTCCACAATCTATACTTTCCATTTGGGCCTAGGTCATAAGTCTGTGCAGACATTGGGATTGAGCACATTAACTTCGATCGCCTATACCCTGGGAACTGAGAGGAAGGTTTCCAGGAGTCTTTGAGAGGAACAGATTCCTCCCCTACGCAGAGGATTTTCTTGCTCTCAGTATCTTTTTTTGTCTTGTTTAAGATTTTTTATTTATTTATTTGACAGGTAGAGTTACAGACAGTGAGAGAGACAGAGAGAAAGGTCTTCTTCCGTTGGTTCACTCCCCAAATGGCCGCAATGGCCGGAGCTGCGCCGATCCGAAGCCAGGAGCCAGGTGCTTCTTCCTGGTCTCCCATGCGGGTGCAGGGCCCAAGCACCTGGGTCATCCTCCACTGCCCTCCCGGGCCACAGCAGAGAGCTGGACTGGAAGAGGAGCAACCAGGACTAGAACCCGGCACCCATAGGGGATGCCAGCGCTGCAGGTGGAGGATTAACCTACTGCGCCACGACGCCGGCCCCTCTTTTAGTATCTTTTTTAAAATCCTTGTTTTTACTATCCAATATTGATCATTTAAAATATGAGGAGTCTCCAGAAAGTTCATAGAACATGGATATTATGAGAAAAACTGCACGGATTTTTAAAAATCTCTACTGAAATCAACCTTGTCTTTTAAATCCATTTTTTCCATGAACTTTTGGTGGAAGTGTTGTCATCTCTCTGTTGCAGCCAGTATACATCCTCCAGCTCTGTTAGAACTGGACTCTCTTTATCAGTTTTCTAAGCAGACACCTCTCCCTCTGTTCAGCATTGTAATGTAAGTGGTCCCCAGGGTTCTAGCCTTATCTGCCTCTGGCCCTGTTTGCCACTGACTCCCCAGTCCAGATCTCCAAACCCAGACCTCCCCTGTTCTTCCAGCCACCTACTGCCATCACCTCACACACAACACGTCCCAAAAAGAAACTCGTCAGTTCTTCTCACCCTGCCCACAAAGCTGCCATTCATTTGTCTTTTACAACTGAGTTCATAACATCACTGTCTATAGAATCTTCCAAGTTAGAGTCCATTTGTCAATTTTGTCTCTTGCCTAGCTCTTAAAGGAGACCAAATTTCTAGTATGCTGAAACATATTTTGTGAGAAAAACAAACAATATACAATTAAAATGAATTTTTTAAAAGAAATTATTTATTGGTTCCAATGCTGTGGCATAGCAGGTAAGGCCACTGCCTGCAGTGCCAGCATCCCATATGGGCACCGGTTCGAGTCCTGGCTGCTCCACTTCCAATCCAGCTCTCTGTTATGGCCTGGGAAAGCCTCTCCTTCTCTCTGTGTGTAACTCTGCCTTTCAAATAATTTTTTAAAATATTTATTTATTTGAAAAGCAGAGTTACAGACAGCGAGAGAGTCTACCATCCCCTGGTTCACTCCCCAAATGGCTACAACAGCCAGGGCTGAGCCAAGATGAAGCCAGGAGCCTGGGATTCCAGCCAACTCTTGCACATGGGTGGCAGGTACCCAAGCACTTGGACCAGCGTCCGGTGGCTTTCTAGGAGCATTAGCAGGGATTTAAAGTGGAACAGCGGGGACTCAAACAGGTGCTCATGTGAGGATGCTGGCATCCCAAGTGGTGACTTAACATGCTGCACCACAACGCCAGTCCCTAAATGGATATTCAAAAGAGATGTTGGAAAGAGAAATCTGAGAAAGGTAGCATGGCTGTGACAGGGAGTGTGTGGTTTTCTACAGGGAGTTAGGAAGTCTCCTGGTGGAAGTGCCAGTTGATCAGACTTGAGTGGAACAAGGGAGTAAGCCATGCAGCTCTCTGGGGAAGCCCTGCGATGAGAGTGACCTTGGTGTACAAAAAAGAATAACCAAGGAAACCAGTACAGCTAGAAAAAAAGAGGGGGGCCGGCACCGCGGCTCAATAGGCTAATCCTCTGCCTTGTGGCACCGGCACCCCGGGTTCTAGTCCCGGTCGGGGCGCCAGATTCTGGCCCCTCTTCCAGGCCAGCTCTCTGCTGTGGCCCGGGAAGACAGTGGAGGATGGCCCAAGTGCTTGCGCCCTGTACCCGCATGGGAGACCAGGAGAAGCATCTGGCTCCTGCCTTCAGATCAGTGTGGTGCGCCAGCCACAGCGGCCATTGGAGGGTGAACCGACGGCAAAAGGAAGACCTTTCTCTCTGTCTCTCTCTCACTGTCCACTCTGCCTGTCAAAAAAAAAAAAAAGAAAAAAGAAAAAAAGAGGGGGAGGGGGAAGGCATGAGTAGTAGAAGGTAAGGCCAGAGGGGAGAAAGGAGGCGGGGCTGAGGGCTTTGTAGGCCTTGGTAGAGATCTGTGACTTTTCCATTGCCTTAGATCTGAGTTTTGTCATCTCCCTCCAGTGTTTCTCCATCAGTGTTTGAACCTATAAGAACGCCACCAAGGCTTGTGGAATAAACCAAAAAGGCTTCACGTGAAAAATGGATGGAGCACTGTGGGATTCTGCCTTTTGGACTAGATTAGTCAGTATTAATATGAATCTTTTTTTTCTTAATGATTTGTACCAACTGTTTTGCAGAGGTTGGACTTTTCAGGAATTGAACCTGATATAAAGCCATTTGAAGAAAAATGCAACAAGCGTTTCCTGGTAAATTGCCATGATTTAACTTTCAATATCTTGGGTCAAATTGGAGACAACGCGAAAGGACCATCCACCAATGTACGTATGAGTTTTCCTTCAACTTCCCTTGAAAACCAGTCACTGGAAGAAATGCCCTTCTTATCGCTGACAACTAATTTATTGAATGAAAATTCCTTGGCTGTACATCATGATAAAGTTGACAAGGAAGAATTTCATGTATCATTCTTTTGCCAAAATATGACTCTATTTTTATCTGTAGAGGATTTGCGAGTCTTACCTACTCAGAGTAGCAGCCAGAGTAGGCTTTCAACATTCAAGAGGGGCCTGTCCCCAGAAGCTGGAAAATCCTCAGAATTTGTGAATTCTATGAGAGAATATGATTGCTTCTTTGAAATTGGTTCATAGCTATGAGTGCGCATCACCAAAGCCATGCTGGGCTACAGACGCTGTGCAGTCTGCTCACCCACTGCTCTATAGGATGAGATTTGAGAGCCAGGGTTTACTCTTTAGCTGTCACATGAGTTGCTGAGGAGCACTTGAAATGATAATAAATGTAAAATCTTCAGAGACTATATTTTATGTTCATCTTTGTTTCACTTCTAGCTTTGTCTTTTAAAGATATCAACACTGATGAGTGATTCTTTTAAAAAGTAGCTGAAGCACATGCAGCAGTCTTTTCTGTGTGAAAAGGGTTCATCTTTATGCCATCTGGCATGAAATTTCTCTTTGTGACCAGCTTCGAAGCGCCATCTGTAGAGAGGAATCATGTCTTCCAAAATTGCTGATGGGGCAAAGCTTTTGTCAAGTCATTTGCTGTTGACTAATATTAGCTCTTAGGAGATGTGTGACCCAGTGAGGAATAATATAACCAAAGGGAAGATTTACATTACGTTTTCTCCAAAATATTGGCATTATTTGAAGTAACTTTGGTAAATGTTTAGATAATTAAATCTTATTCACAAGGCGATTGGTGTTCTTTAAACTTGTCATTTTATTTCTACTCATATTTTTTAAAAATTGTAACTTGTAAAATGCTTTATACCTGACAGTAGTGAAATTTTGGTAGAGGCAGTTATATTGGAATGTTCTTTATGCAGATAAGCTGTAATGCAAATTTAGCTAAATGTTGAACTCCAAAAGAAACTATAAACATAGAAATTTGAGGAAAATAACTTGTGGGCCTCCTTCCCCTGCAAAGTCTTAATTTAAAAAATGTAACTCTTTTCCTTCCCAGGTTGAGCCCTTTTTTATCAATCTTGCCTTATTTGATGTAAAGAACAATTGTAAGATTTCCGCTGACTTTCACGTAGACCTGAATCCCCCATCTGTCCGTGAAATGCTATGGGGATCTTCAGCTCAGCTGGCTGGGGATGGAAACCCAAAGGGCTCTTCTCCTGAGTCTTTCATTCATGGAATCGCTGAGTCTCAGTTACGCTACATAAAGCAGGTAAAGAATCTCTTTAGCCTTGCTCGCATCGTCGGAATAAGAAACAGAAGCATCTGGCGTTATTTCATGGTTTCAGGCCTGTGTTTTCATGGCATTCCAATTCTTGTGAGGTCTGTCTCTGGTCCATTTTCTGGTGACTGAAGCTGGAGTGGAAAAATGGAAACCAGCAAACCTGCTGGTAACACATTGGCAAAGTGACATTTTCAGTGGGACCATGATGTGAGTCACAGGAAGATAGAATATAGGTACACACAGACACACACAGACGGACATCCATGTGCATACTTCTGAGTAAGGCATCACATTTCCACAGGTTGGTTGGTTGGTTTTTTGAGTAAAAAACTGACGTTACATTAATTCTCTGATCTCTGCCATGTCTACTATGAGTAGGTCATTTTCACGTAGCATGAAGGCTCATTATACAGGGATTCTGCTGAAAAAGCAATGGCAGGGAACTTCTTGTGTCAAAGCTATGCCGCTGTATTGTGTCCTGTCTGGGGCAGAGACTCCCCATTAGAAGGACCCATTCTGACCTCTGACCTGGCTGGAAGCTATCATATCACATATTTTGCTGTTTGATACATATTGTGTTCATTTACTGTCATGTTAATCATCCTGTATGGGGGCTGGGGCAGAGTTGCTATGGATTAGTGATTAAGCCTCCAACCTGCAGTGCCGGCATCCCATATGGGTGCCAGTTCGGGTCCCTGCTCTGTTCTACTTCCAGTCCAGCTCTCTGCTGATGTGCTGGGAAAGCAGTGGAAGATGGCCCAAGTGCTTGGGCTCCTCACCAACACAGGAGAGACCTGGATGAAGCTCCTGGTTCCTGGCTTCGGCCTGGCCCAGCCCCTGGCTGTAGCAGCCACTTGGGGAATGAAACAGTGAATGGAAGATTGTCTCTGTCTCTCCTTTCTCTGTATCACTGCCCTTCAAATAAATTTTTTCCCAAAGAAACTTCTTATTTAATGAGTACAAATTTCATAAGTACAACTTTAGGAACATTGTGATTCTTCCCACCATACCACCCTAGCATCCCCACCTCCTCCACTCTCCCATTCCCAGTCCCATTCTCCATTAAGATTCATTTTCAATTAACTTTATACACAGAAGACCAACTCTACACTAAGTAAGTAAAGATTTCAACAATTTGCACACACACACACATGCACAAAACCTAAGAATAAGTTTTACAGTTAATTCTCATAGTACAACTCATTGAGGACAGAGGTCCTGCATGGGGAGTTAGCGTACAGTGACTTCTGTTGTTAATTTAAAAATTAACATTTATGTATGACGTCAGTGACCACCCGAGGCTCTTGACATGAGCTGCCAAGGCTATGGGAGCCTTTTTTTTTTTTTGACAGGCAGAGTGGACAGTGAGAGAGAGAGACAGAGAGAAAGGTCTTCCTTTGCCGTTGGTTCTCCCCGCAATGGCGCCCACGCCGATCTGAAGCCAGGAGCCAGGTGCTTCTCCTGGTCTTCCATGCGGGTGCAGGGCCCAAGCACTTGGGCCATCCTCCACTGCCTTCCTGGGCCACAGCAGAGAGCCGGACTGGAAGACAAGCAACTGGGATAGAATCCGGCACCTATGGGAGCCTCTTGAGTCCAAATTCTCCATCAGTATTTAGACAAGGCCATAAGCAAAGTGGAAGTTGTCGTCTCCCTTCGGAGAAAAGTACATCCTTCTTTGATGGCTTCTTTTTTCCACTGGGTTCTTACAGAAATCCTTCATGTAGGACATTTTTCCTGCCACAGTTTCTTGGCTTTCCATGCCTGAAATGCTCTCATGGGCCAATTAAATAAATTTTTAAAAAACCATCCTGTATCAATATCTGTAGACCAATGATGTTATTTTCAAAGGCTAATATGGTATTCCATTGATGTAGCTAGTTGGCCTATTTCTAAATTTTTTTTATTATTTATTTATTTATTTGACAGAGTTAGACAGTGAGAGAGAGAGACAGAAAGGTTTTCCCTTTTCCGTTGGTTCACCCCTCAAGTGGCTGCTACAGCTGGCGCGTTGTAGCCCAGTGCACTGTGCCTGTCCGAAGCCAGGAGCCAGGTGCCCCCTCCTGGTCTCCCATGTGGGTACAGGGCCCAAGGACCTGGGCCATCCTCCACTGCACTCCCGGGCCACAGCAGAGAACTGGACTGGACGAGGGGCAACCGAGACAGAATCTGGTGCCCCGACCGGGACGAGAACCCGGTGTGCCGGCGCCACAGGCAGAGGATTAGCTTAGTGAGCCACGGCGCCAGCCTATTTCTAAATTTTTTATAACATAAATATTGTGTTGAACATTCTTGTGGATATATCTTAGTTCATTTGTTCAATTCTTTCCTCAAAAGAATTTCCAAGCATTGAGATTTTTTCAGAGGGAAATATTACACTCAGGACAGACTCTTTGGTGTAGCAGTTAAGAGATTATTTGGGGGACTAGCATTGTGGTGTAGCAGGTAAAGCCACCACGTGTGATGCTACTGGCATCCCATATGGACACTAGTTTGTATCCCAGCTGCTCCATTTCTGATTCACCTCCCTACTAATGGCCTGGGAAAAACAGCAAAAGATGATCCAAATATTCAGGCCCCTTCCACTCTTGTGGGAGACCTGGATGAAGCTCCTGGCTTCTGGCGTTTCCCTGGCCCAGCCCTAACCATTGTAGTCATTTGGTGGGCAAACCAGTAGATGGAAGATTCTCTCTCTCTGACTCTAACTTTAAAATAAATTTTTTAAAGATTTATTTATTTATTTGAAAGAGTTATACAGAGAGAGAAGGAGAGGCAGAGAGAGAGGTCTTCCATCCGCTGGTTCACTCCCCAGTTGGCCACAACCACCAGAGCTGCGCCCATCCGGAGCCAGGCGCCAGGAGTTTCTTTCTGGTCTTCCACGTGGGTGCAGGGTCCCAAGGACTTGGGCCATCTTTCACTGCTTTCCCAGGCCATAGCAGAGAGCTGGATCAAAAGTGGAACAGCCAGAACTTGAACTGTTGCCCATTTGGGATGCTGGCATGGCAGGCAGCAGCTTTACCTGCTATGCCACAGCACCAGCCCCAATAAATAAATCTTTAAAAAAAAAAACCACACAACAAGACACCTCTTAGGATGTCTGCATCCCATATTGGAGAACTTGGGTTCGAGGCTCAGCTCTGCTTCCAGCTTTCTTCTGATATGCACCCTGAGAGACAGCAGGTGATGTCTCAATTACTTGAGTCACTGACGCCCACATGGGAGACCTGGATGGAGTTCCAGGATCCTGGCTTTGGCGTGGTCCAGCCCTGGCTATTGCCGCCAATTGAAGAGTGAACCAGTATAAAATTTCTCTCTTCCTGCTTCAGTCTCCCTCTCTTTAAAAAAAGAAAAGAAAAAAAGAGTTTATGGTCAATGACAAAAATTATGAAATGGTAGATGGGCTTCTTTACATATACTGTCTCTACCCTTTTGGGCCTGTGGGTCTATGGCCGCTTTTCCCCCAAGTTGTCCCTTTAGTTAATTACTCAGACGAGTTGTCAATGATGTGAACCTTGCACTTCGATGGCAGATACTTGTAAAAAAGATTGAAGAAGTACTGTATTGTAAGTAGTGGAGAACCCATTATTGAATTAGATGTTTAGAAATTCCTTCGTAATATCAAATAAGTCCTTTTATGCTGATGATGTATTTACTGTTACTTCAATCTACTCAGCTGTACGTTCACTACAAGAAGTTTAAATTGTGGTTTCAGGTGGCATTCAACTTGTGATGTAGATGAAGGAAGCAAATTGACATTTAAAAAATATCACCTGTGTATCAACATTTTCCATTGGTGCCTTCTGTAATCATAATGATTTTGTGAAATGGTGTGAGCGTTGCTGTTTTGCAGATGAGGAAACTGAAGCTCGGGTACATTAAGTTTGCCCGCCCTTGTGTAGCTGGTAGTGGTACAGGTGGAGTTGCAATCTAGGTCTTTTGGCAAGAACTCAAACAGCATGAATCAGAATACAATGAAGTGCATAACATGGACATACAACAAACATATGCCCTGCTCCATCCTGGGGTCTGTGTAAAGTTCTAGGAACTGAGTTGGGGGTACCAGGCCCGATCTCTAAAGAGAGGGGCAGTGACCGAAGCGTCCCCCTTGGGTGGGAGGCATCACCATGCTTCCTGGCTTACGGTGGAGGGCTGTGCCAGAGGTTTGTGTGAAAACACCATATGGGGTTTCTGGACGCTCTCTGGCTACTTCTGCATTCTATGGACAGGGGAGATGCCTAGAAGCTGATGGGGCAAAAACTAAAACAACCTTAGTGTCCCCCATGCCATTGGAATCCCAGGTCAATTCAAAACTGAACATCTCTGCGCCACAGTCCTCATTTGTAAAATGCAAGTAATGGTAGTGCCTGCTTCCGGGGGCTGTGAGAGGCTAACCAAGGGCTATTGTTCTCATAAAGCACCGAACGCTGGGATAGGCCAGGTTTGCTCAGTGCGCTGTAGCTGCTAGGAGTAGTGTAGTGATCTCAGACGAATAAGTGAACACAGCCTGCTTTCTTCTGTTGTCGACTCTTAAAATTATAACCCTCACTGCTGGCCTCAGTGCAAGGAAATGCCTAGAGTGCTGGGAATAGGGGCCAGTAGCTACTCAGTGCATATCAGCTTATAACAGTAGTCAGTATTCTTTCTCAATGGTTTTCATTTATTTTATTTGTTTGAAAGGCAGAGAGGGAGAGATGGAGAGCTCTCACTCACTCCTCAAATACCCCCAACAGCCAGGGCTGGCCGAGGCTGAAGCCAGGAGCTGGGAACTCTTCTGGGGCTCTGCGTGGGAGGCAGGGACCCAAGTACTTGAGTCATCACCTGCTGCCTCCCATGGCATGATATAGCGGGAGTATGGAGTGGAAGTTGAGCCGAGCCTTGAACCTAGGCACTCTGATATGGAATGTGGGCATCCCAAATGTGTCTTACCCGCTGCACCAAACGCCCACCTCGGTGTTACTGTTCCAATTTAGCTTCAGAGTCTGACAGCTGGGAGCCTATGCAGTCTGGAAGCCCAGATTCCAATCTTCACCAGTTTACTTGCTGCACAAACAGCTCTGAGCCCATTTCTTAACATGCGGCTCGTATGGAGAATAGTATCTGCATCCAAGGGCTTTATGAAGGCCGAATGAGAGGACGCATGATACGTGGCAATTAGTCAGTGTAAGAGTGCACTTGCAATGCGTTGCTCAGCACGCCTTCTGCAGGGCAGTCAGGCAGTCTGCCAGCCCCAGCTCACAGTTCGAGAAAAGTGTTCACAGCACTACCAGAAGCCAAGTTCTGTGACTTTAACGCTTTGATGGGCCAGCCTAGTTAGACTAGAACCAGGTACCTAACGTGCATTGTTTTATTTCACCCGTGCAAGAGCTTTATGAAGTCACAATTACTATCATCACCCTCATTTCATAGGTAAGAACCCCAAGACTTGGAGAGGATGCGACTTGCTTGAACTCATAGATGTCAGAGTGAGAACCTGAACCTAAGAAGTTCGACTCCTGAGCAGTTATTAACTAGTCCGTTCCATGCTTGCCACTTGGAAATCAAAGCTGAATCATCCATTACCTGAGCTCCTTAACAAGCTGTTTGGCTTTGGGAGAATGACTAACCTCTTAGGCTGCATTTTCTGTTAAGCCCTGTCTACCTCAGAGGGTTGTATCTGGAACAAAGGAGATCATGTGTCTGAACTGCTTTCAAAACTGCAAAGCACTTTAATAACAAAGTTGGTAATATACCAAGCAGTAAAACAAAACTTGGTAGAGACCCAGCAATGAATTTTTCCACTCACATTCATTTGTGTGGTTCTCCTTTAAGCGACAGCCACAACCAACTAGCGTGCTGTTTAGAGGATATTCTATTTGGAAGCAGCCAAACTGGATAGGGGAGATGACATGGTTGCTCCACATGCATTCAGAAAAGCTCATACAACTTTGGTTGTGTTGACATTATTAGCCCTGGAATGGAGACAGTTTGGAAGTCTGTTTCCTACTTTTACATTGATAAGCACCAGTGCTCTTTAACTGCAGCTAAGGGCTGTTTTCTTTATGGGGATTTTGTTTTTATGGTATGCCGAGCAGCAAAGACAAAATAGTTTCTTCCCTCTTAGCTACAGGGGGTATTAAATGTGAGGGAACTGTTCTAGAGTTGCATATGCAGGTACATTTAAAAACAGGTATCTAGTTCCACTTGAGAAATGCACAAGCCCATTAAGCCAAACAATGCACATTATGTTAATTAGCTCTAAGAACTCGCTTTGCAAACACAGCCAAACAAAAGAGGCCAAACAGCCATGAGGACACCTGCACTTTGGGGACTGACATATGTGAAGTTGGTGACAAAATATAAAATCCACTTTGAAAGGAAGATTGGGAGCTTGGAAATTTATCTAATAGGAAATGCTACTTATTTCTGGACTCCTGGCCACAATCATACATTGACTATCAACTTCGAATACTGAACACACTACTGAGAATCACTAACCAAACAGCCATTAAAAAGCCATTATGACTTTACATTAAAAAGTCTAATTTTTTCCCCAGGGAATTTTCTCAGTGACAAATCCACATCCTGAAATTTTTCTAGTTGCGAGAATCGAGAAGGTGTTGCAGGGGAACATCACACACTGTGCAGAACCCTACATCAAAAATTCAGACCCAGTAAAGGTATTTGTAAAGATCATTTGTGCACATTTCAGTTCAACGTAAAATTTACCTTGTGCTGGTGTTTTTAATAACATTGTCAGTGCCCCCCCCCCCAAGAAGAAGCAACCATATTCTCTGAGCATGCTGTGGATTGTGAAAATTGGACTATTGCTATGTGACTGTAGGTTGTATACTGTGTGAGTATATAGATTGCATAAGTATACACTAAAACACGAATCTGGCCGCCTTTGCCAGTTTCCTTTGTGTTCTGTTAACATGACAATCTGATTTCTGCTTGCTTATCAAAATAAGAGCTAAAAGCTTTTAGGCAGCATCTGCTAACTGACACCGTCTCCTTGGCAATAGCCACTCCTTCCCTACTTGCAGCCCTACATTCAGCCGTAGCCTGTCTGCGTTGCAAAAGAGACGATGATCCGGTCCTGTAGATCCCAGGTGCCAGTCCCAATGCCTGTCCATCCCAGATTTACTCTTGTGGTAAAATAAGAAAGACACTGAGCACTTCCTGGAGCTAAATATACTTACCTTGAAAAATACCCTTTATTCTGTTCGTCCTTCCTACAATTTAGATGGGATGTCTATCTTTCTTTCAGGAAATGCTGGCATTTGTGAGTACTTCAAAAAAAAAAAAAGTTCCTGGAAAATGGAATTAAAAGAGAAATTTATGTTGGTTCAGACTATTTTTTAACTCCATGAAGTCTTCAAAAAGTTCATGAAAACTGTATGTATTGTAACAAAACAGTGCACGAATTTCAGATATTTTTACCAACATAAACTTTCCTTTTAATTCTGTTTTCCATGGAATTTTTGAAGCACCTTCTTATTAAAAGGTAGGGAATTATTGTTTGGTTTTATCGAATGTTCATAAGTGACAGCCTGAGGTCTGTAATCATATTTCATCATATAAATTTCTAGATTGTGAAGTTTAAACGTGTCGAAACCATTGCTGTAATCCCATCATCCCATCCTATAAATGAGAAAATGAAGGCCCGGACAGGCAAAGGGCTCATGGTACAACTCTGTAATGGCACTGTAGCTGCTGTGTTATTTATGAAGTGGCGCTCTATCGCTTGTAACAGTTTGTTGTATCTCCAGTTAGTGTTTATTACATAGAAGATGCTGAGGGAGACATCTGACTAATTTGTGTGAAAAAAAAAATGTCTCCATGATATAGATAAAAGCCCTCTAGCATTCTGTATCCCTTGGGATAAGCGTCCAGCCAGCATTTCACAGCCTGCTTAGACTCTATAGGCAGTTAATCTCCCTCTGTCATCTCGCAGTGCCTGTGCAAACAGCGCAGCTCCTGCCCACACTAGACTAACTGCAGTGGCTTTGGGTCTCTTGCTCCTTATCTTGGGAGTGGAAAGGTCAACTGTATCTCAAGCAGATTTCTCCCAAGAATGATAAGCAGCTGTTTGCTTTGTGCAAGGAAATACATGTTAAAAACTAAAAAATGCTTAGAGGTCTTTGGTGCAAACCATGTCTGACATTTCTTTTGTCTGTCTTATTACAATGGTAAAGGCTCTGTTAATGACCAAACACAAAGCCGCCTTTTAAGAAAGGTCTTGGGGAATTGGGTAGTTTCTTGTGTTTTATTTGTGGCTGTTTCTATCATTTTTCTAGATTTTTGATCTTTGATATTGGTAAATTGGGGAAATTATTTTAAAAAATTTTTTTCTCTTACAAAAAAGGAACAAATTTCAGGTATTTCATGTATGCGGTTTTAAGAGCATGATGATAATATTTGTTTGGGGTGGGTCCATGGTGATTTGAACAAATATGAGCCTGTCTTCTTATTTCTGACCATAGACGGCCCAGAAGGTACACAGGACAGCTAAGCAAGTGTGTAGCCGCCTTGGACAATACAGAATGCCCTTTGCTTGGGCTGCCAGGTTGGTGAAAATATAATCCTGACCCTTCTGCTCACACTCAATCTATGATGTTGAGGGCTCTTGTCCTTACCAGCATTTATCTGTTGCTGGTAAGCCAGTTACATGAGAGAACTTCAAAAAGTTCACGGACTATAGAATTAAAAATTCATTTGGGCACAAACGATTACATCCCTTCATAATTTTTTGTAATATGCATTTTTCATGAACATTGTAAAAGATCCCTGATATCCCGGGTCACTTGGGACACAAGAATGCCTTCTTAGAACTTACTATGCATCAAAGACCCTCTCATTTTTTCATATGTCTGGCTTTAGGGAAATTTTCTTAGACTTAGGTTACTGATCTGACTCCACTTAATTTGACTGCATCTTAAAGCAGAGCCTATTTGCTAAAACAATGGATTTTTTTTTTCTGGAAACCCATGGATTGTTATGAATCGTAGTAGTGTACTCACTATTTCAGAGTTGGCTAGATTTGTGATTCAAAAAACTATTTTAAAATAATTCTGTAACATATACTAAAATTGTTTGACAAAGAATGCAGTCATTAAGTGCACGTGTGTAATTAATTAGTTAATAGAGTTTCTTGCTTCCTGATGACAGATTGAGCCAATCCTTTGGGGGTAGTATATTTTTATTTGGAAGCATGTGTTGTCTATACTTCATATCTTATGTTAGGTTACATTATTTTAGCCAAATCTTGCAAGTGATGACTTAAACCATGTTTCTTGCTTATTCCCCCCATTGAAGTACAGGTTCACTGGCTTGTTTGTGATACAGCCTGTACGGCTCACTGGAACTCCTGGGGAAAGGGCACCATGTTCTGAATAATTCAATCAATTATGTTCAGTGGGTGCTGGGGACTAGCATAAGGGTAGGAGATTCTAAGTTAATTAACTCATCTCTCTGTCACTATTTATAATCATTTCATTTTGTGGAAGGTCTCAAAATGTATTTTATGTTGGTAGATGGAGACACCATTATCCTTGTTGTGCACACTGGTTTAAAAAAAAAAGAAAAGAAAAGATAGCCAAGGGATAGGTGAATGGCAAAGAGCAGGGAGAGTGATATGTGTAAGTGGTCTTAGCAGGTGAAACATGGCTTATTAACATAAGCATACAGGTAATGTTGTAACCTGAACAGTCAGTTGTGGCTGCTGCTGGTGTTATTATTCTTAGTTATTCAAGACTAACTCTATTCAAAGCACAATGCTACATGTTCAGGGTGTATTTTCTTAAGAGAGAGCTACTGTTATTCCCATCTTGGAGATGAAGAAATTGAGACACAGACGTTCATAAAAGATAGTCTTGCCCAGGTTCCCAAAGCACATGGCTGAGCAGGGGTCAGAAGCCAGGCACCCAGCTTCAGAGGCCCATCTAGACTTCTGGGGCTTACCTCCCTCTCCAGCTTGAGCAGTAAGCTGCGTGATAACCATTTTTGCTAGAGTTAAAAAAAAATTAAGTTTGAAATTTTCAAAGTTAGAACTTTTATTCTCTAGTTGTAATCAGGCATTATGTTCTTTTTCTTTCCTGAATCATTTTGGTTGTCAGCAGTAGCAAAAGCTTACTCTGGAGGTGTGGCTGGAGTATTTTAAAAGACCTATGATAAAAACCCTGTTGGCTAGAAATAAAGGAAGCATAATTAGAAGTCAGAACAATGGGGTTAATACCTGTAGCCATGTGTTCAGAGGCTCTGCCAGAAGGAATTATGCTTCTGGCTATAACTCCTTCATGTGTGTTGGGTGCTTATGCACGACTTCCCATTTTATTAGTAATATAGGTGCCTAAAAGGGGAGAAGAGGAGGAGGGAGGGAATAATTCAAATTCATATGTGGGAATCTACATATATATTATAAATCCTCCAAGTAAATTTATGTTTAAGATCCAATTTAATTTTTTAAAGATCGTTGAAGAGGTTCTCTCAACTTCAATCCTATTTGTAAAAATTAGTCTTTTGAGAGACTAGACCAAAAGACTTCCATCTGCCAGTTCATTCCTTGAATGCCCAGGAATTGGGAACCCAATCTTGGCCTCCTACATAGGTGGCAAGAACCCGACTACCTGACCCATCACCTGCTGGCTGCCTGGGTGTACGTTAGCAAGAAGCTAAAATCAGGAGCAGAGCCAGGACTCAAACTCAGACAGTCTGACATAGGATACAAGTGCCCCAAGGGGAGTCTTCATGGCTAGGCCATATGCTGACCCCTCTACTGTGATTTTTATCAACATGCTAGAGATGTACTTTAGCTTTGATAAAATGCACACCTTCTAAATGTCCAGCTGGATGAATTCGCCAGTTAGTGTACAATCATGTAGCCACTACCACCTGTCTGTGGTTTCAGAAAGTTTTCTCAGGCCCCTGTTCAAATCATCCCACTCCAATCTGCTTGTCACTGTACCTGAATTTCCCCTATTCTAAACATTCATAGAATTGGAATCATGCAGTATAGAGTCTTTCTTGTATTTGGTTTCTTGTGCTCAGTATATTTTTGAGATTCATCCATATCATTATGTGCATCAGTTCATTTTGAGTAGTATTCCATTGTATGGCTATAATGCAGTTTGTTTATCCATTGACTTGCTGATGAACATCTAAGTTATTACCAATTTGGGGCTGTAGTGAATCTGCTATGAACATTCATATGCCACATGGAAATACACTTATGCGTGAAATTGTAGAATCCAAGAGTACATGTATGCTTAACTATATGGAAACTACCAAGCTATTTCCAAAGTGGTTTCACCATTTTACATTCCCATCAGTGCTAATGTTTTCTGAATTTATCTATACTTTAGACTTTTTAAAATAATAATAATAAAACTTTTCTACTGCTGTTCTAGACCCGTTTTCAAAGATATTCAAGGCTCACTGGATTTGGATGGAAGATTTTCTCCTTTGTATAAACAAGACAGTAGCAAGCTTTCAAATGAAGACATTCTCAAGTTGCTCTCAGAATACAAGAAGTAAGTGTGTGACATTACTATGAGAAATGAGCATTTTAGATGAATTATCCATTTCTTAATGATAAATGTGAATAGTAAATGGGGAAAACTGAACACTTAAAATTTTAAGTTTGGATATAGTGTAACAAATGTGTTTGTAATCATGATTTTAAATTCTAAAATATTCTTATTTTATACCTAGGCCAGAAAAGACCAAATTGCAGATTATTCCTGGGCAGCTCAACATCACAGTAGAATGTGTTCCTGTGGATTTATCAAGTAAGAACAAACATATTGCAAATAAACCTTAAGGATTATTTTCAAATCACAGGTTCTTTTTTTTTTTTTTTGACAGGCAGAGTTAGACAGTGAGAGAGAGAGAGAGAGAGAGAGAGAGAGAAAGGTCTTCTTTCCGTTGGTTCACTCCCCAAATGGCCGCTACGGCTGGCGCACTGCACCAATCTGAAGCCAGGAGTCAGGTGCTTCCTCCTGGTCTCCCATGCGGGTGCAGTGCCCAAGCACTTGGGCCATCCTCCACTGCCTTCCCAGGCCACAGCAGAGAGCTGGACTGGAAGAGGAGCAACCAGGACAGAATCTGGCGCCCCAACCAGGACTAGAACCTGGGGTACCAGCGCCGCAGGCAGAGGATTAGCCAAGTGAGCTGCGGCGCCGGCCATCAAATCGCAGGTTCTTATCTTTTCAAGTTTTAGGTGGTGTGTTAGTTTCCTATGACTGCTGTAATAAAGCATTACAAACTGGGACACTTAGGCTGACAGAAATTTATTCTATCATGGTTCTGAAGGCTAGAAATCCAAAGTCAAGGTATTGAGCAGGCCATAGTCCTTCTGAATGTTCTTGGTAAGAATCATTCCTTGTCTCCTAGCTCCTGACTACCTGTGGCATCCCTTGGCTTGTAGCTGTATCACTCCAATGCCTGCCTCTGTCCTCACATGGCCTTCTTATAAGGACACATGTGTTGGATTCAAGTCCTACCCTAATCCATCATTACCTCGTCTTAACTAATCACATCTGCAAAGACCCTATTACCAAATAAAGCACATTTTGAGGTTTCAGTAGACATGAATTTTTCAGGGGATGCTATTTGACCCTATACACGTGTGGTGAGTACTTAGATTAGGAAGTAAATTAAGTGATTTTTTTTTAATTTTATTTTTGACAGGCAGAGTGGACAGTGAGAGAGAGAGACAGAGAGAGAAAGGTCTTCCTTTTGCCGTTGGTTCACCCTCCAATGGCCGCCGCTGCAGCCGGCGCACCGCACTGATCCGATGGCAGGAGCCAGGAGCCAGGTGCTTTTCCTGGTCTCCCATGGGGTGCAGGGCCCAAGCACCTGGGCCATCCTCCACTGCACTCCCTGGCCATAGCAGAGAGCTGGCCTGGAAGAGGGGCAACCGGGACAGAATCCGGCGCCCCAACCGGGACTAGAACCCGGTGTGCCGGCGCCGCAAGGTAGAGGATTAGCCTGTTGAGCCACGGCGCCGGCCTAAATTAAGTGATTTTGTCATACACTGTTTCATAATATGACGTTAGAAGTGTGCCCAAGTCTTCTGCTGCTGCCTGTTTCCTTAGGTGAATTTTGGCTTCTGTCATTAGCCATGAGATCAAAAAAGGAGGACATTTTCTTTTCTTGTCTAAGCATCAGAATCTAAGATTCTAGGAGAAAAATGAACAGAAGACACAAAACATAATTTGCAGGATATAAAATGAAGCAGCTAGGGACAGATGTTTGTCATGGCAGTTAAGATACCCACTTACCATGGTGAAGTGCCCAGATTTGATCCACAGCCCCTGCTATTGATTGTTTTTCTGCTAATACAGATCCTGGGAGACCCTGGTGAAGGCTCAAGTAATTGGTCTCCTGATATGCACGTGGGAGACCTGTATTGAGTTCCTAGATCATGGCTTCAGCCCCCTGTCCATTGTGATCATTTGGAGAATAAACAAGCAAATGGGAGCTTGCTCTCTGTCTTATCTGTCTCTCAAATAACAAAAAATTTTTAAATATAAAAAAATTTTTTCTTAGAAATATAAAAAATACTTTAAATGAAGTAGCTAGTACATATGTAAAAACAGTCAAGCTGGGACCAGCACTGTGGCTTGGTAGGCTAAGTCTCCTCCTGTAGTGCCAGCATCCCCTGTGGATGCTGGTTCTAGTCTCAGCTGCTCCTCTTCTCATCCAGCTCTCTGCTATGGCCTGGGAAAGCAGTGGAAGATGGCCCAAGTCCTTGGGCCCCTGCACCCACTTGAGAGAATGGAAGAAGTTCTTGGCTTCTGGATTTGGATTGGCTCAGCTCTGGCTGTTGCGGCCATTTGGGCAGTGAATTAGCGAATAGAAGACCTTTTTCTCTGTTTCTCCCTCTGTCTGTAACTCTACCTCTCAAATAAATAAACAAAACTTTAAAAAAATCAAACTGAGGAGTAATTCCACTAGTACAAAATAAAACAAGGGGCTGGCCCTGTGGTGTAGTGGATTAAGCCATCACCTGGCTGTTGTGGCCATTTAGGGATTGAACCAGTGAATGAAAGAGCTCTCTCTCTTTTTAACTCCCCTTCAAATGAATAAATAAATATTTTTTAAAAAAAGATGCTTATGATGTATCAGATTCACAATTTTTTTCTTTTCTAAGTTTACTTTTTATTTATTTGAAAGGCAGAGTGATAGAGAGGGAGAGAAAGAGATCTTCCATTCACTGTTTCACTCCCCAGTTGGCTGTAATGGCCAAGACTGGGCCAGGCCAAAGCCAGAAGCCTGGAACTCCATCTAGATCTCCCATGTGTGTGGCAGGGTCCCAAGTTCTTGGGCCACCATCCACTGGCCTCCCAGGTGCATTACTAAGGAGCTGGATCAGAAGCAAAGCAGCTAGGACTCAAACTAGTGTTCCGATATGGATGTTGGTGTTGCAGATGGTGGCTTAACCCACTGCACCACAATGCCAGCCCTTAAAAAAAGTTTTTAAGTCATCTATTAATTTTTTAAATCAAAATTTAATTTGTTTATTTGAGAGGCACAAACACACACACATATAGAGAAAGAGCTCCAATCCATTGGTTTACTCCCCAAATGCCCACAGTTGCTAGATCTGGGCCAGGCCAAAGCCAGGAGGTGAAAATTCAATCCAGGTCTCCTACACGGGTGGCAGGAACCCAACTATATGCCAAGGTCTGTATGAGTAGCAAGCTAGAGTCAGGGACCAGAGCTGGGAGTCAAAACCAAGTACTGTAATGTGGGACACAGGTGTTTTAGCGGCTAGGCTAAATGTTCACTCCTACAAAAATACTTACAATGAAACCATCTAATGCTAGCTATGTCTTGGCCTGGCACCATGATCTACCACAAATTTGGAGTATAGTTTGGCAGTAGAAATAGATAGCCATGATAAAGTAATCCAGTTCTGAGGTTCTACATATCCATTCATTGACTAAATAAATATTTATTGAGTAAATATTTGTTAAGTACCTATGAGGTGCTTTAAACTTAAGGAATTTTTTAAAAGATTTATTTATTTATTTGAAAGTCAGAGTTAGAAAGAGAAGGAGAGGCAGAGAGAGAGAGAGAGAGAGGTCTTCCATCTGCTGATTCACTCCCCAATTGGGCACAACAGCTGGAGCTGTGCGGATCTGAAGCCAGGAGCCAGGAGCTTCCTCCGGGTCTCCCACATGGGTGCGGGGGCCCAAGGACTTGGGCCATCTTCTACTGCTTTCCCAGGCCATAGCAAGAGAGCTGGATGGGAAGTGGAGCAGCTGGGACCCGAACTGGCACCTGCATGGGATGCAGGCACTGCAGGTGGCGGCTTTACCCGCTACACCATAGCACCAGCCCCGAACTTAGGAATAAGGTCTACAAGGAGTGACAGCCAACAAGCAAACAAATAATGATTTCAGCTTATGACAGGAGTGAGCTGCTTTCAGAGGGTGGCCAGAGAAGACATCTCTGACAATCAGGAAGAGAAGAGGCAGCAGGAACCCGCACGTGGTGGTTGGGACTGTACATTCCAGACTGACGACATCACATATATTGTGAAGGGTTGAGGTGGTAGTGTGTTTGGTTGGAATAAGCAGAAAGAAAGCCTTTGCGGCTTCACTATACTGTGTGATGGAGAAAGGAGATGAGGTAGGGGAAACAGCTCATACAGGGAATTGTAAAAATCAAGATAATGCCTTAAAAGCTTGGATTCTATTTTACGTCTAATGAGAAGTCACTAAAGGATTGTAAACAGGAAAGTGGTATCCAATGTACATTTTAAAACGTCTAAGAGTGCAAGGGATTATTTTCCCTAAAGAAATCATTTGAAATGCATATAGGAGTTTATGCATAAAGATGTTCTTTGCTGTGTTAGTTACATTGGGGAAAAATTGGAAACAACTAGAGGCTGACACCGTCAGTATGGTTAAGGTAATCATGGGAAACTGAATCATGAACCTTTATGCAGCCATTAAAAACTGGTGTTTATAGTTTCTGGAAGAAGACATCAGAGTAAATATCGGAAATAGAACATATACATATGGTTGAATTTTTATATTACTATATGCCTGGAAGCAGGATTAGAAGAAAATACACCCACATGTTAACAGTAGTTATCTTTGGGTGGTCGAGTGATAAATCATTGCTGTGCCTTTACTCTCATCTACAGATGTCCTGTAATAATTATTCACTGCTTTAACAGTCAGAGAAAAACAAAGCCAACCGACAGTGCCGTGTCTGCAGGTCTGGCTCACCCTGTGTCTTCCTTCTGCAGTCTTAGATCCCCTTACGTATGGGAATCTTTACTGCAGTGGTGACTTCAGTAACATATGCTGCCTAACTTCTCTGAGTCCTGGGATTTTTCACATTTGGGGATATGGCATGTATTATTGTAACACATCGTAAGATCTGCAGTTTCAAAAGGCTTCCACTATGTCTTAGGTGAAAACTTGCACCTGCACCAAGTGAACTTTGTAAAAGTGACTTGCCGTGAGCTAATTGGAAGCATAAATTAACTGTTATTTCTTTCCCTGATAGCAATGAAAATCTGCAGTGAAAGCTAAATTGCAACCACAGGAGGGAAAATGCACTGGATTTCTTTGCAGAATTTAAATTTGTCAAAATTATGATGTGTTATATTTGGCAAATGATTCAACATTGAGAATGAAATAGCAAACCATGTCTGGTGTGAACAGTTCCACTGAAATTGGCACGAGGCTACTCCATCCTCTATCCTTTTGAGTTTAAAAGTGGTTGTGTGACTTTTTGTCAGTTACTAAGAACTCTGTCTTTTAAATCATGCTTTGAGCACACAGTGCATGTATATTTTTATAAATGCAGGAAGATGTTAAGGGTTGTTAAATTGTATGATTGTTGCCTATTTTTTTTCCTATTATAGATTGCATCACTTCTTCATATGTGCCCCTAAAGCCTTTCGAAAAGAACTGTCAAAATATTACAGTGGAGGTTGAAGAATTTGTTCCAGAAATGACAAAATATTGCTATCCATTTACTATTTACAAAAACCATCTGTATGTATATCCCTTGCAATTAAAATACGATAGCCAGAAGACATTTGCCAAGGTAAACAGCAGAAACGGTACATTTTTGGAGTAGCAATGTTATTTGTAATCTTCTGATTGTATGAGTCACTTTGAATGATTAATCCTTTCAGGCAAGGAACATTGCTGTCTGTGTGGAATTCCGGGATTCCGATGAAAGTGATGCTTGCGCTCTAAAGGTTCGTTTCTGATACTGATAAGCATGCAGTTTTAGTAGGGATGGTAGAGATGCAGATACTGGTACTTGGTGTTCTCATGCGTTCAGTTTGATTTGTTTAAACACCACAAAGAAAATGCACCGAAGTGACAAATGTAATATTTCTTTTTCTACTTTTGCACATGAACTAGGAGGGTTTATTTCAATATAAGTGAGTAGCAAAATGGGGTGGGGGGCATACATAGGTCTACACGTAGGCAAGGTTCTGTATAGGCTTTGGGTTTTGCTCCACTTTGATTCTGCATGCCTCTGATGCTCAATCGCAAGATCATTTTCTTAGGACCTTTGAGCTTATAATGGTTCCATCAGGAGACTGTGAACTCCTTTCTCCTTGAAATCTGAACAGGCTTTGTGCTGACAGAAGCACAACATGACTGCTTTGATCTGAAATATGACTTCTCCTCTATGTCTGGCCAAATGGTGTCTCCAGACTCGGATTTGTGATCTGTGAAAAGCAGAAATCTAAGTATTACCTGATACAGCAATCCTTAAAGCCCTGTCACATCGCAGTGCCTTTACCTTTTTTACTCTTCAGAGCTGGGTGTTCCAGCTTGCTCTTTTGCTCATTAATCAGACCTGAAAGGGAATTCGTAGGACAGCCAGCCATTGCACAGTGTTTATCTGACTCCCCATTTCTGGTTTGAGCCTAAATCAAACACAGGGGTGGCTAGTCTTAGACCCAAACCACCTAGGGTGAGTGGCTAAAATGCCCCCTACGTCATTGAATGCTTAATAGTCCCTGCCTTGGAAAAGAAGTTTTTGTTTTGTTTTCTTTTGTTTTCTCACAGAGAAATGTAGGTTAAATGAACGTTTAACTGCCTCAAATTTAGTGTATTTTCTCTGGTTCTCCCTTCAGTGCAAATGAGAAGAAGTGTTTCTTTTCTTCCATGCAATATTCTTTTTTGGAATTAAGGAATCTTACGTTGCCCCTCAGCACTTCTTGCAAATTGCCTTCAGAAATGTATTTAAGGGGCATTGGACGTGCACACATATAGAGTCTTGATTTCATTTCTTAGCTGGCCCAACAGGCCTGCATTGAAGTGACAGTGTGAGGCACTTCATCCCTTGGCATGCTCACTCCGTATTCATCCTCCTTTTTATTACGCCTGCGGAAGTGAAAAACTCACATCACAAATGCAATCGGATCTTTTCATGGAACCACAGAAAGCCTTATGTTTCTTTTATTGGCATAACAGAAAGCCAGTGATTTTCAAAATGTGACTCAAAAAGTGCCACATTTTAAAAATGCGCGATAACAGTAAAGTCGCCTGTAGCTTACTAGACAATTCAATTCTTAAGTCTTTTAGGCTAAGAATGTGTCTGTTGGCTTAAAAATAGCAACACCAACAAGAGAACGTTCCACCTTGTCCCCTGCACAATGACCACCCAGCAGATGTTGCTGACTGGCTAAGGTGGAGCTTCTTGAGGTCTTCAAAATTCATGGAGAATGTGTATTATGAAAAATCTGTGCATTGGATTTCCGTTGATTTCTGCGTCAAAATGAACTTTGCTCCATTTCTATGTGACGTTTTTGAAGTACCCTTGTGTTAAACACAAATAATGTGATAGAAGCTTGAAAGGCCTGGTTTGAGACTGTTTCCCTGTCAAATGATTATAAGTGCACAACTTCTTACTGTCAGTAGTTTGGAGTTGCATTTCCTGGATGGGTGCACACTGAAATGCATCCGGAGAGACAAGTGTTGTCCACGGTGGTCTCTGGAGTGACTGTGTCACTGATTCGGAATTGACGGGCTCATGGTGAGAGCCAGGTGGCCTTGGCCATGGTCTTGTACACTTACAGACATCTGAGCCGAGACTCTTTTCCCTTCTTTTGCAGTGTATTTATGGAAAACCTGCGGGGTCCGTGTTTACCACCAATGCCTATGCCGTTGTCTCGCACCACAACCAAAACCCAGAATTCTACGATGAGGTAAAAAAACATACCATGCTGACATTTATAAAACACAGGAGTTACTACTCTTTTTCTCTTTGAATCTTTTGTACCCTTTAATCTGCCCTTTGTAATCCCTGATCGTTTTGTTTTGTGAAAACAGAAAATGTCACAACGAAACCAAGGGCCACAACATGCTTGGTGCCCTTTGGTGGCCGTGGCAGATTTGCTCACAAATCTAAGGGGTTCCCCAACTCAAAATAACAATGGAGGAGACAAATAAATGCCGGAGTGAGGCAAGGGTTCTGGCCCTCCTAGCTCTGTGACACTGAGCAATTCTCTCCTCCTTTCTGAGTTTCCGTTTCCTCAGCTTTATAAAATAAACAAATCAGAAGAGACTTTCTGAAGGTCCATCTAGCTCTTTCCTGATGTGCTTCGACTTGGTAGAGTGAAATACTTGGAGAGACAACTCCACAGCTGGGTCTGCAGAATCCAGTGCCAAGCAGATAAAGGGGTGCATGTGGACTCCTATTTTATGCACCTTCCTGAGCCTGTCTCTACCCCATCTCTGCTTCTCTTGCCTATCTCTCTATTTCTACAATTTCTTTACTTCCCAGAATGTTCCTCAGTGTCTCTGTCCCAGCCACTTATAGTCTATAGGTATCTGGCTTCCCCAAATCGGTACACTGCTGTTGATTCCTGCCTATCTCTGTGGACCCAGGAATGGGCATCCCAGGCCAGACACTCTGCTGTTTGTGCTTTGCTGTCTTCGTGCCTCCATTCTGGGCTTGATCTGAAGCCATCCCCCTGCTGCCATGACCTCCCCAGGTCCCCGTGCTGTTATATAGAAGGCTTATGTCCCAGTCTGAGACTTGGCTTGTTCCTTTCTCCATCCAATGGGTCTAATTTTGCTGGGAGCAGGGAGGGGGAGAGTGGTGGTGCCTTGCGTTTGCCACCCAGGGAGGGGTGTCTGCCCATATTTATGTGCAGCAGAGCATTAGTTACCCAGATGGTCTGGATGCTATGAATAGGCATGTGCCATAGTGAAATATACCTACCACACACATTAGTGCTAACACAGAAAGCATGCCTCATGTGAATGATAATTGGGCCAGATGTCCATCACCAAGCTGTTTAATATATGCATCTCTAGAACCAACCCTGGTTACTGCAGAAAACTGCATCATGTGATGTCAGTCACCCACAGTGGTTTTAGGATGCCTGAAATGAACAGACTTTTTAATCATTCACTGTATATTGACTGCAAGGGACAGAGAGAGTGATAGAAAAGGAAGAGAAGGGAGAGAGAGACAATGAGTCTGCCTCTACACTATGTGGACATATGCCTGTGTATGAAATCATTTAAATTCATAATCTGTAATTTGTCTCTTACATACTTCTAGGAGTCATGCATTATAAGCATTCAGCTGAGTTCTGACTTGAAAATTGCTTGAGATACTTCATTATAAGCTTGAAGTTTTAACTAAGTTTATGTGTCATGGGTAAAAATTTTTTTTTTTTTTTAAGAGTGAAGCTGAGTTTTTCTTCTAAAGGAATGTATGTAAACTATAATTTGTGGATACTCTAATAACATAGTGAATTTTTTTTATTTGTGAAAGCTTAATTTTATTCATGTAAAGGAGAGCAAAAACTTAGAAAAGACAGTATCCTTTCAAAGTTAATGCACATCTTAAATGCGGTATGTTCATTAGCTCAGATTGGGTTACACAGAGTCCCTGGACTGTGAAGATGTGGTTTTGATCAAGTGTTTCAGAAAAATCCTGTGGCAAAATGGAATCTAGGAGAATCCATTGGAGTTCCCAGCAAAAACAATAAATTAGCCCTCACGATTCAGGAGGTAATTGTTGTCAAACTGAAAATGACCAGAAAACCTTTTGGAATATATGGAAATGGTATCTACTATTGGGCCACTTGGCCTGTGTGTAGGAAGCATACTTAACATTGTGATGAAACTGAATGAAATGACAGTCCAGCTAGACAGTGAAAACAGAAATGTCATGTGTAATTTCGCTGTCATTACAGATGAAAATTGAGCTTCCCATTCACCTGCATCAGAAACATCATTTGCTTTTCACGTTCTATCATGTAAGTTGTGAGATCAACACGAAGGGAACAACCAAAAAGCAGGACACAGTTGAAACTCCAGGTACAAGTTCTCTTTAAGTATCTGTCTTAGGGCGGGTGTTTGGCTTGTTGGTTGACATGTGTTGGGATACCCAGGCCCCATATCCAAATACCTGGGTTTCATTCCTGGTTCTAGCTCCAGATTCTAGCTTTCCATCAATGTATCCCCTTGGAGGCAGCAGTGATGGCTTGAGTGACTGGGTCCTTGCCATCCATGTGGGAGACCTGGATTGAGTTCCTAGCTCGCAGCTTCGGTCTCTGGGTCCAGGGCTGTTGCAGGCGTTTGGCAAGTGAACCAGGAGATGAGAGCTCTCTGTTTCCCTGTTTCTCTCTTTGTCTACCTCTGAAACAACTAAAAGAAACTTCTAAAAATTTAAATAACAGTTAAAAAATAAACTTAGAAAATAGTTGCAGAATTATTTATTTGTTTGAGAGGCAGAGCGAGAGAGAGAGAGATCTTTCATTTGCTGATTCGATTCCCAAATGGCCACAACATCCAGGGTTGGACCAGGCTAAAACCAGGAGCTAGGAACTCTATCCAGGACTCCCACATGGATGGCAGGGGCCCATGCACTTGCACCATCTTCCACTGCCTTCCCAGGCACATTAATAAGGACCTGAATTGGAAGAGCAGCCAGGACTTGAACTGGCACTAATATGGGATGCTGGCCTCACAGGCAGTGGTTTCACCTGCTGCACCACAACGCTGGCCCCTGTCTGCAGCTATTGGAAATGCAACTGTGTGGTATATAACTTCTTTTCTTCAAGCTACAGATCGTGTCTTCCCTTCATCAAAAAATTAGATTTCTAAGTTTAAAAGTTCAGTTGAAAAGTGAAAGATAAATTCTGTTTATTTTGTTGTCATTTCTACCGAATATCAGTGTTCAGATGCTTGTCAGTGTGTTTGGAATATAAGCTACATAGAGTAACATCAGTATTCTCGGTGAGAAACAACTGTGATACAGTGTTTTTGTTATTTCTTTTATGAAAAATTGCCCAGCAACCAGAATTTTTTAGTCCTGCTCTCTGAGAAAGAGGAATGAGCCCACAGCCAGGGACACCTGTGAGCTGGAGGGGAGCTGGGGGCTGCTTGGTACTAATGAGAAGAGAACAGAGTTAATGGACTTGAAGAAGCCTTGGTAGGGAAGCCCCAGCCATGGTGCCATTCAGCAAGGCTTTAGAGAAACCAATAGGAAGCTTTCTTAGGAGAACATAGAAGGGGTGCTCTGTGAACACAGCCTGTTTCACACCCACTTTATTTATTTATTTTTTTAAAAGATTTTGTTTGAAAGGCAGAGTGACAGCAGTGGGGACAGAGGGGACAGAGAGAACAGTGAGAAAAAGATTTTTTCCATCTGCTGGTTTACTCCCTAAATGGCCATGATAGCCAGTTCTGGTTCAACCACAAGCCAGGAACCATGAGCTCCATCTGGGTTTCCCGTGTGGGTGACAGGGGCCAAATCCCTTGGGCCATCTTCCACTGCCTTCCCAGGTGCACTACCAGGTACTGGGTTGGAAGTGGAGCAGCCAGGACTCAAACCAGTTCTCGGATCTGGGATGCTGGCAATGCAAGCAGCAGCTTAACCCACTGTGCCACAGTGCCATTCCCGTACCCACTTTATGAACATCAAAATGCCCTGGGATTCAGATACAGGTCACTTGATCATTATTTGGGCACTTCTGTGTATTTTTTCTTGGAAATTCTAAGATATTGTAGTAAGTACTGTGGAGAATGCAGTGGCGGATCCCAGATCGCATCTTCACTGAGTTTATGATGTAGTAGGAAGAAAGAGTCTTCGCTAGACAGCTATATAATATCAGGTACATAGGAAGTTTTGCAGTGTGAACACAGGAAGATCAAGTTATTTAGCTGGTGGAGGGACGAGTGGCTGGAAATCAGCGAGTAGTCTTAAAGCGTGGGGTATGATTACACAATGATGGCGGGAATGGAGGGGGTTCTCAGGTGAAGGAACCAGAACTGCTTATACAGGACACCTCTTGTATGAAGAGGTGTGGGCAGGGAACTGAAGTCGTTCACTAAAATTGGTGCACAGGGCACTGTGGAGGGAGGGCATAGGTTGTCAGGTTGAAAAGGCAGCAGAAGGGGGTGGTATGGCCAGGGGGTAAAGCCACCACCTGTGGTGCTGACATCCCATATAGGTGCCGGTTCAAGCCCTGGTTGCTCCTTTACCTATCTAGCTCCCTGCTACTGCAACTGGGAAAGCAGCATAAGATGGCCCAAGTGATTGGGTCCCTGCACCTACGTGGAAGACTTGGAAAAGAGGCTCCTGGCTTCGGCCTGGCCCAGCCCCAGCCTGTTTCAGCCATCTGGGGAGTGAACCAGCTGATGGAGGGTCTCTCTCACTCACTCACTCACTCTTTTTTTTTCTTTCTCTCATTCTCTCTTCCTCTCTGTGTAACTCTACATTTCAAACAAATGAATACATAAATTTTTGTTAAAGAGATGGAGGCATCAGACTGTGGAAAGCCTTGAATGCCAGGCTGTGGCTCTGATTTTATTCTGTCCCTCAAATGGAACTGTGGAAAGGTCATAAACACTAGTAAGAGCTGTTTTGTAGAAAAACTGATTAGGCAGCGATACAAGGGACAACGTATGTTGGAGCAGGAACAAAAGGGAGGAAGGGAAGGATGGAAGGAAGATGGACCAGCTAAGCTATTTCAGAGGTCCAAGAAAGAACACATACTACTCTATGGCAGGACCGGGGAAGGGAGCAAAGGAAAACTGTAGAAGAAAAATGCAGGCGGTCTCCTTCCCATCCACAGGTTGTGCATCCAGACTCGGCTAACCACGCATGGAAACATTCTCCCCAAACTGTGTCTGTACTAACCATGTGCAGACTTTTTTTTTCCCTTGGTGTTACTCCCTAAATGATTCAATATAACAACTATTTGACATTTACAGTATCTCGTGTATTATAAGTAATATTGAGATGACTTCAAGCATCTAGAAAGTTGTGTGCAGATTATTGAAAGTTAACACTGGAATTTGAAAGCTGAGTGATTGGAGAGAAGATGCTGTCAGCAGCGGAATTGTGGGTGGATGTTTTTGGACTCATGTTAAGTTTGAGATGCTAGGGAGGCATCTGAGCAACACCCATCAGGCAGCAGAAGGGAGTCCCTTCTGTGGATAGTATGGTCCTGTGCTCTGTCCCCCTAGAACTTGCAGTTAGTATGGGTTAGGGACCTTGAGGACTGAGAATAAAAGCCAGCAGAACAATGGGAACCTATGACAGTTTGTGCCTCCTCAAAGATAAATTACTCTGCTTTATCCAAATCCTAGACAAAATTAGATGAGATGTTCCATGGTGCGTGGAGGGGGTTATTTTATGTGCCGTTCAGCACTGTGAACTGTCCGTGCCTTTCGAGGCTTCCTACCTTTAAGCCAGATGGTATGCTTGACATTGTACCTTTACAGCTTCCGAGTGCTCCATATGAGTTTTGACTAAGGGATTCGGTTGGCCCTTCTCTGATTAATCTGCAGTGCAGAAACTATTGCCTGAGCAATCCCGCAGAGGCAAGAAGTAGATGAGCAGCCAGGGCCTGGGGGCAAGGGGGAACGGAGACTTCCCCCATTTCTGAGGGCTCTGGAGTTTCTTTTAGGGATACTGTGAAAAAGTTAGATGGCAGTGACGGCGACGCAGCTTTGTGAGTACACTGAATGCCATGCAGTTGTAGACTTGGAAGACACAATTGGTGTGGAAGCTGAAATATATCTCAATAAAAATTTCTATGAGGGAAAAATATTGTCTGTCTTGGAACAAGAAATATATCTTCTCCGTGTCTGAGCTGGAAATCAAGCCTGCTCTGTCAGGTGTTCAGTTTAACTACATTGACAGTCATCCCTCAAGGTTCTTGCGTTCGCGCTCCTTTCCTCTGCTTGTTATACGGGAAAAGGTCGGGGTAAACCCTTTCCACAGTGGTACTAGTAAAACTACCCTGCAGGCTCGTTTCACAGTCTGCGAAAGCCATTTAGGCTACTTAGAGAAAGCAGTGTTTCTGTCTTCTTTGGAGAGTGAAAGCATTTGGCAAATTAAACACATAAATGAAAACATTTCTAACCAGATTTGTGTTGACTTCTGTGTTCACAGTATAAACACACACTCACACGCACGTCAAGTCACGCAAAGAATTTTAAAGAATCGGAAAGCAATGGCTTTAGAAAGTGCTCTCCAGCCAACACCCCCTGTCCATTTGCCAAAACTCAGTCTAGAGCAAGCTATTTTACAGCCGAGTTATAAACACTTGAAACCCAGAGTGATCTCTATAATGGAAATACTGACACTGATCAACTGGCGCAACACAGATGGCTCTGGCGTTTTTAGCTAAAACATGATGAGTTTTCTTGTAGGGAGCCAAGAGGCTCTTTTGGGGTAGAACTGTTGACAAATGTACAGATTTGGGGAAATCTCCGAGTGGAATCAAGTCATAAACACTGCTGCATTCTCCTCCTACACCTCTTTCTTCTGTAGTCAGCATACCTCTGTCCAACCGATGATTTATGCTACGACTGCCCCCATAAATACAGAATGTAACTTTGACTTGCTACCTTACTCTAGGGCCGCTGTAAGAAATTTGGGAACATGTAAGGATGGATGAAAGGGATCTGATCCTTTTAATAACTAAGTCTAGCAAAAAAAAAAAAAATCCCCCAAAGCAGCAAGATAATGGGCTTGAGGTACTTTCAAAATGCTGAAGTGTTTTCATGTATTATTTCACTTTGTTCTCTCAGCTCTTTGGGATGGAAAGATTGGGTGTTGTTGCAATTTTCATGGTCAAGGAGATAGAGTAAGTAACTTGTGACTGGCCAGGCCAACTCCGTGTTCTTTTTCCCAGGATTCAGAGGCCCAACCGTTGGACTCCCACATATGGATCCCTGCAAACATCGTTCCCATGCCCTGCCCTGCTCAGCCCCTCCCCCCTCCAGACCTTTGTTTGGCTTCTCATTGCTGATTATTGTCTTGGCAGTTGGTTTCGCCTGGGTGCCTTTGCTGAAGGATGGTAGAATGATCACATTTGAGCAGCAGCTGCCTGTTTCGGCTAATCTTCCCCCAGGCTACTTGAATGTGAATGATCCTGAATCCAGAAGGGTAGGAAAATGTCTGCATTTGTTGAAGTAATCAGGATGAACTCTTTTAGAAAATAGAATTCTCTTGGTCTAGTTGACTGTTGAAGATGACGGTTCCCAGAATATGGTCTGAGGTCTGGTTGAGGTCCACGATGAAGATAAGTATGGAGAATGCGTGTTTAGCATTTATAGCAATGTGACAGACTTATTTTCTGTCTAGTGATTCTAGCAATAATTTTTAAAACTGGGATTTGGATTCCGTGCATCATTTAAAAATTTTCATCTGTTTGAGGAATTTTTAATGTAATTTATAAATTATCCCTCTGGAATGGATTAGAAATTTAAGATGACTTAGGATACATTTATTCTAGAGGGAAGTTATTTGCTCCAGTGGTCCTTTTGTATGAAATGAATACATTTGTTTCTGGAAAATGTTGACCTGCGGAAAGGTGTTACATGTTGTTCATCTGTCCATTGCTTTGTTACAGAAACTCCATTTTCTGTTCACAGCAATCCAATGTGGATATTAAGTGGGTAGATGGTGCAAAGCCATTGCTGAAGATTAAAAGCCACTTAGAGTCTACCATTTATACTCAGGTAAGTTGTGTTACCTGAATTTTGTCAATTGTTATACAATCCTAGAGGATGTTTCTGATTTAAAATCAACTGTATTTGATTTTAGTACCCTTAGAAAAGGGACTTGTGAGATTTTCTGATTAGCAATCACTTTGTGCTAGCTCAAATTTTAGAGTTTTTCTAAAATGACAAAGCCCTTTTATTGCCATTAGCTGATCTGAGCCTCCGGTACTCAGCGTAGAGGAGTGTGGAGGCTTCCATCCCCATTTTATAAATGAAGACACTGAGGCTCAATCCAGTTAGGTGACTCCCCTGAGATCTATGGTAATATTAGGGGAACCAAGTTTGAGTACACATTTGATTATTCCCGCTCCTGGTGTGGCTCAAGCTGCCCACAAAATCCGTATATATTGATTCCTTATGGAATGTTGGCCTCGTATGCCAAACAAGTGCCATGGTCAGCTTGGGTATTGAAAGCCCGAGACGACTGTTGTAGTAATTCCTGTCGCTAGCTTCTCTTCCCCTGTTAGTGCAGACCTCCATTCCTGCTCGTTTCCTTAAAACAAAGCAGCAGCCCAACTTCACAGAACACACTAGGCAGGAAAGGAGTTAAACCGAATGTTTGAGGAGTTGGCATACGTGTGCTTAGGTACATGTCGCATTTACTTGGTTTTGCTGCTTTGTGTGGCAGTGGAGAGGATTTCAGGACATGGACACCTATGTTGAGCTGCAGCTACTGAGTCTGGCAGAAGAATCCGAGAGAGAAGGGTTTGCAAAATGCAGGAGGAAGGAGAGAGGTAGAAAGCCTACGTTTGCGGGTAATTGAATCAGATTGCATATGGCTGTTTCCATCTGTGTTCCAGGATCTGCATGTGCACAAATTCTTCCATCATTGCCAGCTGATTCAGTCGGGCTCGAAAGAAGTTCCAGGCGAGCTCATTAAATATTTAAAGGTAAATGAACAGCAGTTTTCTGCGAAGGTTTGTTTTTCGTGTCTTTCTGTTGCCACATTTTGGTGTGGAAAACAAAATCCAATGAACATTTTAAAATATTTTGATTGTATACACTCAGAATACTTTCTGCCACATACTTGCCATCCAAGGGGCTATTAAAATGCCCACAGCACAGTTGCTACATTAGGAAGAAAGTGTTCGAGCCAGAATTCCACATCATACTTTTTCAAAATCTCATGAAAATGTGTATTTCCATCCCATCAATTGATTTTTCAGGTCTTTTCTCTGCCCGCTGACTGCCCAGGGAAGGTGGAGAAAGCAATGTGGGAAAGGACCAGGAGGCGTGGAATCCCTTTGACTTGGAATAAAATGGGAAATGGTTCTTGGGACAATCAAAAGGGCCAGCTAGACAAAGAAACAGATTTGCTGCACGCTGTGTAAGGGGACAGGCTTGGGGAGACCTGAGACTCAGTTTACTCCCTACGTTCTAGGGCTGTGTGCACGTGTCATCACACTGGGCAGACAGCAGCTCTTCTCTATGGATTGCTCCTTTAGTAGGTTAGCTGTGTTAAGTCTGGGAGTTAGCGTTATAAATGAAGCGCCTGCAGAATTTCCCTTTGGACAATATGCTATTTTACTGCATGGCAGTCTCGGGAAAGAAATAGTTTGCATCTTTCAGAGAGGCAGTGTATGACATGACATAAAATGTATGGAGACTGAGTTTCTGTCCCAGATCTGTCACTTCCTAGCTCCGTGATTGACCTTGGCCAAGTTGCTTAACTTTTTCGAGCCTTCGTTTCTTCATCTGTCACCTGGGGATGCCAGTAATAATCATCTTGCAGGGTAGTTCTGAGGCTGGAATGACATAGGAGAGTGGCCCCATTTTAATCATTCATTCCCTAGCTATTTCTGGAGAGTTTCCTATGGGGCAGGTGGTGTTGTTAGCACTGGAAACATAAGTGAAGAACACAACCGATATCCTTGTATTGTCAGGGAGTTTACTGTCTTGTGCAGACAGACACTAAATACATAAAAGAATAAATGTATATGTCATGCAAGGTAGTAAAAAGTGCTATAAAGAAAACCAAAGCAATGACATTGAACAAAGAGTGAGAAGGAGTGCCTGTTTAAAGCGATAGGGTAAGATTTCTCTGGAAAAGTAGTGTTAGAGCAGAGGTCTAAAGGAAATGAGGGTGTGAGCCATGTGGATTTCTGGGGTGGGGCAGGGGGGTAAGAACTGGGAACAATGCAGAGGTCCTCAGGAGCTTGGTCTGGTGCGTGCAAGGCACAGCATCAGGCCCAGTGTGGTGGGGCAGGTAGCTGAGGAGCTAGTCAGGTAAGTCCCCTTGTGGGATGAGGAGTTTGAATTTATTCCAAGTGAGACAGGAAGCCTTACAGGGCTCTGGACCAAGGAGCGACATGGTGTGACTTGTGTTTGTTTCTTTCTTTTCATTTATTTCATTGTATTTGAAAGGCAGAGAGACAGTGAAAGACATGGAGACTTCCCATCTGCTGGTTCACTCCCCAAGTGCTCAGGAGCTAGGAACTCTATCTGGGTCTTCCATGAGTGTGGCAGGGACCCAAGTACTTGAACCATCACCTGCTACTTCCCAGGGCACATATTAGCAAAAAGCTGGATAAGTAGCAGAGCCAGGACTGGAACTAGGGATTCTGATGTGGGATGTGGGCAGCCCAAGCAGTGTCTTAACTACTGCGCCAAACACCCACCCCCTGTTCTTAATTATCATTAAGAAATCTAATAGTCGTCTAATCTTCCAGTCCTTTTCTTGGATGTTGTCTGGGATGACCTCAGCTATACATACATGCGTGATTGCTCTGTCTGTTAAGGTCATTGTCTTTTTATTCCAGAAAGGAAGCCTTGTAAAATTTTTAAACAGAGCAGAATGGAACAAAATGTTTTTTTCATATACTGGTATTCTTAAAATGGAAAAGAATACTCATACTTGTGTTTTGAAGGGTGTGGAATTTTGGAAATTTTGTGACGTATGCTTGCCCTCTAGTGGCGATGAGTGAAATATGCGTGATTTCAGAAATAGCCAATAATCACTGTTTATGAGTGAAATTGACATCTTTGGATTTGATTATTATGTATAGGCCTTGTCCATGTTCCTGCTGAACTATGGTCTTTGTACTTTTTACTTGTTGAATTCTTTATTTAGTGGATCCTTAAGCCTTTGACTATTAAGTAAATTAAAAATGTTATAGCAAAAGTTTAAAAAGAGTGAGAGAGTGAGCGAGAAGCATGGGAAGTGAGTGTCATTGTTTTTTTTTTTTTTTTTTTTTGACAGGCAGAGTGGACAGTGAGAGAGAGAGACAGAGAGAAAGGTCTTCCTTTGCCGTTGGTCCACCCTCCAATGGCCGCCTTGGCCGGCGCGCTGCGGCCGGCGCACCGCGCTGATCCGATGGCAGGAGCCAGGAGCCAGGTGCTTTTCCTGGTCTCCCATGGGGTGCAGGGCCCAAGCACCTGGGCCATCCTCCACTGCACTCCCTGGCCACAGCAGAAGGCTGGCCTGGAAGAGAGGCAACCGGGACAGAATCCGGCACCCCGACCGGGACTAGGAAGACCTTTCTCTCTGTCTCTCTCTCTCACTGTCCACTCTGCCTGTCAAAAAAAATAAAAAAAATAAAAAAAAAAAACTGTGTCTATGAACTGCATTAAATATGTTCTCCTTAGAATGATAAAAATGTAAATAGAAGTGGCCAAACACGTATAGATAATTACTGAAAGGGACTTAAAAAAAAAAAAAGATAAGGAAACAGAAATCCAAAGAAAAGAGACTTTGCCTAGTCATTGAGCAGGGCTAAGCCATGCCTGTGACGTATGTCTCTTGCTACCTAGTTACCTTGCTATCTGTTGTCCTTAAATGACAGTGTTTCATCATCCACTTCGCATCTACTTGCTGAGCTCTCATTATGCACTTAGGTGTATTCCCAAATGCTGTGGATCTTGCAGAGAAGAGTAACTTCGGGTCATGTCCAGAGGAATGTTACAACCTAGCTTCAGAGACAGGACACACATAAGTTAAATGACAATATGGCAGTAATACAAAGTCATATGTATTCAGTGTCAAGTAGTGATACAGGGTACAAATGCTAATGATTCAGTGCACCTGGGAGCCAGTGCAATCCAGAAGGCTCCCAAATTGATCTTTCCTTTGGTTCTCTGTTCATTGATTTATTTTGTCATTCATCAGATACATATTTTGAGCAGCCACCATGGGCCAAACATTTTTCTGGGTCCTGGGAAGATATGGGGTGCTCCCATATCTTCAGATTCTGTACTTGTTGGAGTTGGGGAAGAGAAATTATAAATAAATATGTGATTTTAGTTAGATGAGTGCTATAAAGAAGATTGAGTGGGTTAATGAGCTGTAACCTTCCCAGGAGTACCTTCTAGACCTAGTTGTCGGAGAAGGTCTATCTCAGGGAATGACAAGAAGAAGACAACCTTAGGTGATGAAGCTGTGTGAAAGGAGAATAGAGCATCACAGTATGTGTATATACCTTCTGCTGGTGCATTGATAGGAGAGAAAGAAAAGGCAGTGTAGCTGGAGCACGGCGTGAGATGACTTTGGAGAGAGAGGCGGGGTATGTGTAGAGATCACAGCCCATGACAGATCTGTATTCATTCATGGTGGTTTGTTTTTCTTTTTTTAACAAGGGGAAGATGGCATTATCTAGTTTGCATTTCAAAAAGAACCCTGGCTGCTGTGTTAAGAACGAATTCTAGCAGAACAATACTGGTGTCAGGGAGATCATTTCTGATCGGAAGTCTTGCCTGGTGTTCCCTACTCTCCTCCAGACTCAGTTGCTTCTTCCCTTGTGCCCTCTGTGTATGCCACTGTCATGCTATATACTGTTTGTATTGCCCTGATGTAGTGCTATGTGTTTATCCCCCCCCTCATTTTTTTAAAGATTTATTTATTGAAAGGCATAGTTACAGAGAGGCAGAGAGAGGGTCTTCCATCCGCTGGTTCACTCCCCAGATGGCCTCAATGGCCAGAGCTGGGCTGATCCAAAGCCAGGAACCTGGACCTTCTTCCGGGTCTCTCATGTGGGTGCAGGGGCCCAAGGACTTGGGCCATCTTCCACTGCTTTCCCAGGCCATAGCAGAGAGCTAGATCAGAAGTGGAGCAGCTGGGACTAGAACCGGTGCCTATATGGGATGGTGACACTGCAAGCAGCAGCTTTACCTGCTACCCCTTAGCACCGGCCCCATGTGTTTATACCCTTTAGACTGTGTGCTGATTGATGAGAGGAACCAAGATTTTTTGGTCTGTTTCTGGTGTTGAGTGTGTGTGTGTGTGTGTGGTTATTAGAAATTCATATGGTCCACCTTTCTTGAATGAGAATATGAAGGTTTCACTGAAGTTGTCTGGGATTTGGCTAACAACTGTGACTAAAGGCACAAAAGTAGGAAAGTATATGATACATTCAAGGAACCATAAGAGACCTGTTTGGCCTTGTAATTGTCGCTCCCCCTCTTCGTGGAGGAGCAACACTGAACCCTGCGCTGTTCTTTCGTCTGCTCGGCCCTCCCCGGGTTTGCTGCTGGTTCTTCCCGGGTTGGCTACTATCCCTTCCACCTCCGTGGAAGGGCAGTTCCCCCTGGCCGCATTCCCCACTTCCGCAGGGGAGCGGCACACCGCCGGCCAGCTTTCTCGGGGGCTGCACGGGTTCCCTTAGATGTTCCCCATAGATGTTCCTGGTGCATGCCGTCTCTCTCCTCCTTTATAGTCCTCCTCCGCCAATCCTAACTCGGCTGCCCACACGCCGAGTACGCTGCTCTCCAATCAGGAGCAAGTCCTACAATTTATTAGTTGAACTGGAGGCAGCTGTGCGGAAGCTGTTTACTTCTCTCCCAGCGCCATATTGTGGGAGAGCAGATGCATAGAATAAGTCTTAATTCGAGTAACTTAGTCTAGTCCAGATTGCTCCCCACAGATCCCCCTTTCTTTTTATTTTTGGCGTTGATACGC